CAAGGACACGAGGAACATGAGGGCGAGCAGCACAGAGGAAGTCGGAGAGAGGAGGCGATGAGACAACGAGAGATGACTGAGGAGGCGATGGGAGGAGAGGAGCGGGAGGGGCACGAGTTGCATGAGAACGAAGTGACATAGGGTGGGCACTCGAAGTGGGAGAGACAGGGCAAGCACGAGAGGGACGGTGAGACCACCAGCGAGAGGGGGGCGTGTTGTCAAGAGACAAGAGAGGAGACTTAGGAGGAGAACGAGGGGGTAAACGAGTCGGAGACGAGTCCGGCAGAGGGAACACAGGACCATAGACCGGCAGAGGAGGCGGCGTTGGGGGAGGCACGGGGGGGCGGTCGGGAGAGGGAAGACCGATCCGGTGGCGACTGCTGCTGCGGCGGCTGCTGCTGTGCCGCGCCCACACCAGGACCTCAAGCCGCAGCACAACCACCTCCGGGACTCGCCACGAAAGCACCCCCAGGACCAGCTCTCCCAGAACCAGCACCCCCAGAAACATCATCCCCAGAACTAGCACCCTCCTCAGAGGCATCACCCACAGCACCAGCACCCCCAGCGCCCACTGACCCGTGCGGCTGCGACGGCTGTTGCTGCTGCTCCGGCAGCGGCGACTGCTGCGGCTGCGGCGGTGGAGAAGACTCCGGGGCCAAGGGTGCAGGCACCGCAGAAACGGGCGGCAGACCCTGAGCCCCATGGCCCCAGAGTCAGCAGACACCTCAGCCGGGCCAGCCAAAGGAAGGGGAGTGACATGAGACACACCAGACGGGGCAGGACGGGGAGCGGGAGCTACCGGGGGAGTGGGGACAAGGAACAGGCGTGGGGTAACCGAGAGACCTCGGTGGGGAAAGCGAGTGTAGAAGGGAACAGGCTCATCAAAGTTGACGGCACGCGAGTGAAAGAACCAGTGGTGGTAGAAGTGCCAGTTAGACGCCTCTATGGGGGAGCCAAGGAAGACATAAGGGACGGTGCAGGCAGTGAGCTTGTGCGCGCGAGAGTCACGGACGTGAGCTAGGCAACCCTAAACGTGGAACGTAGATGCGTCACCAAGGGACCCAGTCCAGAAGAGGGTCGGCGAAACCTGCGGCCACAGGTTAAGCTGGTGAGCGGCGTAGCAAACACCAAACAGCTACAGAAAATGGGGTCCACCGGCATGGATCATGGAGGTACGAGCCACCTCCATGACCAAAACTATGTGTCGCTCAGCGACCCCATTCTACTGCGGGGAGTCCGGCTGGGTATACGACTGGGTGATGCCCTCCGCACGACAGAACTGGCCAAGCCGACCGGAGGCGAACTCACCGCCACAGTCGGAGTGGAGACGAATCACTGGCTGGGCGCGTCGGCCTTCCGCTCCAGGCGAAACACCGTGGTGTAGCGCGTGTAGTTGTCGACGAGAACCAGAAAGTAGCGCTCGCGACGTGGCCCAAGAACAAGAGCTGGGCCCAAGACGCCCAGGTGCAAGGTCTGGAGTGGCGCTGTAGTGGGGGGAAACGAGGAGGAGTGAGGGGCATGGTGCAGCCGGCCCTCGACGCAAGGTGTGCACTGAGGCGCGGGCGAGGGGGGGAAGGCAGGGAGCGACGCAAGGAGACCTAAGACAAGACCGTGCTGGGACATGTGACCCAGACGCGGGAGTGCGGGGTGACCTAGGCGGTGGTGCCACATAAGCGACCGGTGAGTGAGCGACCGACACGAGCAAGCCGCGGTGACCTGGGTAGACGCAGCCACCTGGGGGATGCTCCCACCATGGGGGGACGCAGTGTCCAGCATGAACAGGCCAGACATCAGGTCCCGAGGGAACGTGGTGAGGGGGGCACCAGTGGCGGCCTTTGTACAGATGGCATACCGCTCGTGTCCAGGGAATGTAGTGATGATGCCGAGGTCCTGAAGACAGCCGACACCAACTAGGTTCCTGGAGAACGGGGGGATGTGCAGACCCATAAGAGAGCTCGAGGGAACCGCCGGACAGGGAAGGGTGGTGGAACGATGTGCATCTACCAGACCTGAGGAAGGGTCAGCAAGGACGACAGCTGCAGGGATGGCAAGTGGCGTGAGGGTGGTGTGGTCGCGAAAGATGCAGGCGGACGCACCAGAGTCCAGCGTGAAAGAGAGAGCGACGGTAGCGTCAGCCGACGCACTAGCATGGAGCCAAGGCTAAACAAGTCAGGAGATCCTACGCCTGACGCAGCAGGGGAGCCTAGACTACACACACAAGGCACACTTACGCTAGGCAATACAGGATAATAGGGTCCAGTCACACTAAAATCATCGGCAGGATACATGGCATACAAAGCAGATCAAATCTGGTCCATATCTAACTCTAAGACCGGCACACGACGACATACCAGACTGGGCAAGTCCGGAAGGTCCGTTGCGGGGCCGAGACGGAGACAGAAGAGGTCGTCGAGGCGGCGGTAGCAGCGAGCGACGGTGTGTCCAGAACGGCCCCACAGAGTGCCAAGAAAAGGACCTAACTGGAGCTGGTACTAGCGACTCACTGAGCTGGAGCCACCACCCGACGTTGAGCTGCGCGGACCGCCATAGCGGCCACCACCACCAAAGCCGCCGGGCTACCACTGCGGTGGGGGTCCCCATGGCTACCGCTTCTGCTACTCCGAGGCGACAGCCCCCGCCCCCTCGTCTGCACCGCCTGCATTCGCACCCCCTCCACCACCCCCGCCACCCCTCCCTCCCCCTCGCCCCCTCCTTGGGGCGGCGGCCTTTACCCTGACAAGCCTATGCTGAGGCCGCCGCAGCGCTCTCAGCAGCAGGGGATGTCTCAGCGACAGCAGCAGAAACGTCAGAGTAAGTGCACTGGGAGGGGGCACAGCCCTGGAAGATAGGGACCGCCGCGGTACTGCTAGACTGAGCGATAGTGCGCTGGTAGGTCTCTATCATAGACAGGGTGGTGACAAACTCGGTAGGCGTGAGGTCTTCGGGGTGAAGACTAAGGAAGGCGTTGCGGACAGTGGCTAGGCGGTCGGGAAGGCGCGTGGCTAGGAAGTAAAGGGTAGCGCTGAGGGGGGGAGGCAATACAGTAAGCTGGGCCTCAGTGCTAGCAGCTCGGTAACTAATCTCAAATGCGTGCAGGTGAGTGGCAAGATCAGCGACTGTGGGGAAGGACGCGAGATGATGGAAGAGTAGGGGCAGGAGGAGACGACCAGCAGAGGCGGAGTGTGAGAGTACGACCCCGTTACACCAATTTCCCCTTTCCATATTTCCTTTCTATTTCATTCCTCTTTTTATCCTGATTCATTTGGTCTTTATCTCATCTCATTTGGTTTCCTATTCCTCCTTTTCCATTATCATTTGGTTTATCCTGTTATTATAATTATATCACCGACCAGGCTCGGGATGTACTGGCGCGCTATATCTAGCGTAATCCTGCAGTAATCTCTTATAGCCAATGGCCTCGCGTGGCTATACGCAGGGTGATTCTATTTCTAGAAGGGTCTATTCCCTTTGGATAGGATAAACCTGGTTACCTGATGTACTCTCGAAGTATAAAAGCACCTTGTACTGATTGATAGGGCAACATTGAGCAAACCTCATTCGATCCTGTGACACGGAGGAGGGAGTGGAATAGCACGTAATGACAGCATCTAGGTACTCCTCCGCTGTATCTACGGCCTGAAAGCAGGGACGCTCGGACAGGGAGAAAGCGTGGCTAATAGCAAGTTGCACAACCGCGTCACGTGGCTCCCAAACAGAGCGGGGGAGCTCAGCAGCTGTGAAAGCCTCATGCTCAGCAGGTGTGGGGGCGTTAGGGAGGGCAGCAGGCGGGTCGAGACAGGGGAGCTTACCATCGACATGGACGGCCAGGGACTGGCCATCCTGGCGCTGATCCTTCAGTTGGCGGCAGAGGTCGGTGAGCCACGCCTCTAAGCCTACCGCCCGACCCTCCTCGTCCAGGCAGAGCACGGCGTCCGCCATCACCACAGCTGCAGCAGCTGAGGATCGCAAGAGGAGGAGGAGGGGGCAGGCAGGTGTTGTGAAGAGTAGGGAGGTGCGGTGGAGCACGGTGGAGAGCAGTGGAGAGCGGTGGAGTGCGGTGGAGTGCGTTAGTGTGCGGTGGGGTGCAGTGAAGCCGCGATTGAGGAGACAGCGGACCGAGACGCCGGCTCAGAGTGGAACCAGGGCCGGCGGCGTGGAGGGGCCGGCAAGTTGGGGCGGCACGGCGGCACGGCGAGCTAGGGCGGCACGGCGGGCTGGGGTCGGCGGCGAGCTAGACGGCACGGCACGGCGAGCTGGGAGCTGCGGCAGCTAGGGCCAGCGGCGAGCTGGGGCCGGCGGCGAGCTGGAGCCGGCGGCGAGCGGGAGCCGCGGCGAGCTGGGAGCCGCGGCAAGCTGGGGCCGCGTGGCGAGCTGGGGCCGGCGGCGAGTGGCGCTGCGAGCCACGGAGAGCTGGGGCCTTGCGGCGAGCTGGTGCCGTCGGCGAGCTGGGGCCGCGGCGAGCGGGGGCCGCGGTGAGCTGGGAGCCGCGGCGAGCTGGGGCTGCGAGGCGAGCTGGGGCCGGCGACGAGCAGGGGCCGCGGCGAGCTGGGAGCCGCGGCGAGTTGGGGGTACGAAGCGAGCTGGGGCCGGCGGCGAGCTGGGGCCGCGGCGAGCTGGGAGCCGCGGCGAGCTGGGGCCACGCGGCTAGCTGGAACCGGCGGAAAGTGGGGGCCGCGGCGAGCTGAGGGCCGCGCGGCTAGCCGGGGCCGTCGCGACGAGACAGGGCCGTGCGGCGAGCTGAGGCCGTCGCGGCAGGCTAGGGTGGCACGGCAAGACTAGGGCATCGCAGCGCGACAGAGTAGGGCGGCGCAACGGGGCCAGCGCGGCGTAACATGGCCAGCGCGGCGGACTAGGGCAGCGCGTCGCAGCGGACTAGGGCGGCCGGGCGCGGCAGACTAGGGCGGCACTGCACGGCGGGCTAGGTCGGGGTAGGCTACGATAGGCTAGGGCGGAAGTGCGGGTGGGTGGGACCTAGGTACTTAGAGTAGCGTGATACCATCTCAGAGTAGCAAAAGTGAACTAAGCAAGGGCATACAGGGTTGTACTCTTTAAGAGCACATACCTGTCTAGCCTACAACTAGACATACATTACAAATGTATAAGTTGACAGCAACTACTTTCGGAACTCAGACCAAGTAGCTGATGTCTCACCACCAGTTTTTACACCCTGGATTTGGAGCAACTGCTTTCGGAACCCAGACCATCCAACTTCTAAGTTCAACACACATTACCCACCACACCCTCCTTCCTCCCACCACCCATCACCATCACCATTCCTTCCTGGGGAGGAGCAAGTATCATACGAAGGCTGGATGGAGACCACTGTTGAGTGAGTTACTTGAAGACATAGCGAGGTGCTTCTGTCGTTTGCGCTGGTCTTGCTTCTGCAGCTGTCGCTGCTGCTGCTAGCAGCAGCACTACTGCTCCAAATAAAAAGGCTGCTGTTGCATATAACAGGCAACTGTTGCTGCTGCTAAAGCGCCTTGACGGGCAGCTTCTGCTGCTGGGGCATCTAATGCGCAGCAGCAGCTGCTGCTGAATATTTAATTGGAGGTGGAACAGGAGGCTAGTGAAAAATGGGCGAAGGTAAGCTAGCACCTGTATAGGATTTGAGAGCTGCTGCTTGAAGAGGGTCTGGGTGCTAGAGCCTGAGGAGGAATAGAGAGGCTAGTGTGTGAGGAGGAATGCTGACTCTAGTGCGTGAGGAGGAATGCTGGCTCTAGTGCGTGAGGAGGAATGCTGACTCTAGTGCGTGAGGAGGAACTGGAAGGTGCTGTTCTCTCGAATGGCTGGCGGCAGCTGCAGCGATCGCAGGTCGATCTCGTGCGTGCTCTTAGATATGTCCTCCACAGAGAAAGGGATGCTGGGGAATGGAGAAGAGACGGAGGCATAGCAGAGAGGAGGAAGGTGAGACAGGAAATGCAAAGCACATCAATCCCGTGCATGCTCTTAGATATGTCCTCCACAGAGAAAGGAATGCTGGCGAATGGGGGGTATTGGGGGAATAGAAGGGGGAGGGAGGGAGGGGAGGGAGGGAGAAGTGGGGGGGGAGGGGAGGCAGAACCATGAGGAGCTGCAATCAGCAAAGGTCGCAGGCCAATCTCATGGGTGCTCTGGGATATGTCTTCAACAGAGAAACGAATGCTGGCACATGGGGAAGAGACGGAGGCATAGCAGAGAGGAGGAAGGTGAGAGGGGAAATGCAAAGCACGTCAATCCCGTGCGTGCTTTTGGATATGTCCTCCACAGAGACAGGAATGCTGGCGAATGGTTAAGGGAGAGGGCGAAGAGGGGTGGGGGGGTGTGGGGAGGCACGCGTGTGTAGAGGTGCAAACAGTGCAGGTCAATCTCGTGGGTGCTCGTGGATATGTCCTCCACAGAGAAAGGAATGCTGGCGAATGGGGGGTGTTGGGGGGAAAGGTACAAAGAACGCAAGGGGGAAGAAGGGAGGGGAGGGAGGGAGAAGGTGGGGGTGGGGGAGGAAGGGGGGGGGGCAGAAGCGTGAGGAGCCGCAATCAGCGCAGGTCGCAGGTCAATGTCGTGGGTGCTCTTGAATATGTCCTCCACAGAGAAAGGAATGCTGGCACATGGGGAAGGGGCAGAAGCACATCCTTTGCTACACCTCCAAAGGCAAGAGAAAAGACACCCCCTTTTCCCTCACAACCCAACTAGTAGCATCTCCCTTAAGCATCCCTCAAGCACCCACCTGGAATCGTCGTCCAGCAGGAACGAGCTGCTGGCATTTTTAGAATTCGCAAAAATGACTCCACTCCAGCAGGAACGAGTTGCTGGCATTTTAGAATTCTAAAAAATGACTCCACTCCAGCAGGAACGAGTTGCTGGCATTTTTAGAATTCTCAAAAATGACTCCACTCCAGGGGGAACAAGTTGCTGGCATTTTTTAGAATTCTAAAAAATGACTCCATTCCAGCAGGGACGCGTTGCTGGCATTTTTTAGAATTCTACAAAATTACTCCACTCCAACCGGAACGAGTTGCTGGCTGACGCGTTGCTCTCATCGCTCATGCGTCGCCGCATCTCCAAGATAACCGCTCACGGTGGGCATGCCATACTTGTCGTCCCAGGGATGAAAACAAAGCCCCACAAATCGAACGTATCTCCCTACCACCCACCTGGAGTCATCGTCCAACAGGAAAGAATTGCTCGCCGAGGCGTTGCTCTCGTCGCTCATCCTCCTCCGCATCTCGGAGATGACTTCACTGGACACGGTGTGCGTGCCGTACTTGTCGTCCCAGTACATGGTGCTGATGCGGTACAGCTGCTGGATGCTCAGTGCGGGGCACAGGTCCGTCGTGATCTCCTGCATGCTCTTCTTGGGCTTCTGGTGGATAACCTGATAAAGGGTATGGGGAGAGGGATGGCTGGGGAGATGGTATGAGGAAACAGATGCACCAGTGTGGCCATCTGTGATCTCCTGCATGCTCTTCTTGGGCTACTGGTGAATCACCTGATAAAGGGGATGGGGAAGAGAGGGAGAGCGTGGGGGAGGTGTGATTTGTGTGGATGAATCCTGGGACTGTACGGATGGGATGTCCTGCATGCTCTTCTTGGGCTTCTGGTGAATCACTGGATAAAGGGGATGGGAGGGAGGGTGCAGGAAACGGTGTGAGCCTTAGGGTTGTAGGATAAGCCTGTGTGAAGGATGTCTGAAATAGATTTTCTGCACGTCTTTCGTGGGCTTATGTGGAATCACCTGGTTAAGGGGATGGATGGGAGGGAGTGACCGTAGGGGTGCAAGAGGAAGTGAGCGTGCAGGAAGAATAAGAGGGCAAGGCAGCGCCAACATAGAGACGAAACGAAACGAAACGACCAGGAAAACAGCAAACTGGTAACTGTGGGAACCTACCAGATAGCCGACAGCTTGGAGAATGTACTTGAGCTTCTCCCACGCATTTCCCATGTACTCATGAGTCACCTCCTGCAGTCAGTGGTCCAACTCTACACTCCACTCCACAAACCACATTTACACCTACCAGGAAGCCGACCGCCTGGCGAATGTACTTGAGCTCCTCCCACGCATTTCCGGTGTACTCATGCGTTGCTTCATGCAGCCAGTGGTCCAGCTCGCCCAGCCCCGCCTTGACGTACTCGCCGTTGCTGAAGGAGCAGCACTCGCGACGCAGCAGCAGACTGCAGCAGGTGAGGGAGGGGAGGGGGCCGGGGGGGCACGATGGGGGAGATGAGACGGGTGAGTATCGGGAACCAGCAATCCAGCTCGCCCAGACCTGCCTTGACGTACTCGCCATTGCTGAAGGAGCAGCACTCACGACACAGTAGGAGACTGCAGGGGGCGCATGAGAGCGGAGAGAGAGGGGAGGGTGAAGGCGAAGTTGGAATAGGAGATCTGCCCTGCCTTGACGTACTCCCCACCGTTGCTGAAGGAGCAGCAATCGCGACGCAGTAGGAGACTGCAGGGAGGGAGGGGGTGAGAGGGGGGGAAGTGAGGGGCGAGATGTTAGAGGAGAGCAGCGAGAGAATTCATCAGTAATCAAACTCGCCCCGCCCTGCCTTCACGTATTCGCCATTGCTGAAGGAGAAGCACCCCCTACGCAGCAGGATACTGCAGCAGGTGTAAGGTGGGGGAAAGGAGGCACATAATAAAGAGCCACACATCCCTGTCAGCTGTTAGACACCTGTTGAACAACAGCACCTTCATGAAGGAAAACTTTTGAGTCGACTCAAAAGTCACCAACAGCAGCACCTTCATGAAGGAAAACTTTTGAGTCGACTCAAAAGTCACCAACAGCAGCACCTTCATGAAGGAAAACTTTTGAGTCGACTCAAAAGTCACCAACAGCAGCACCTTCATGAAGGAAAAGATCTGCGTGACCAGCTTGACACAGCCACAGGCTCACATACTGATCAGCCGTCAACCCCTCCCCTCACCTTTTGAACAGCCATCAACCCCCCCTCCCCTCACCTGTTCAACAACCGTCAACCTCTCAGACCCCCTCACCTGTTGAACAGCCGTCATCTCCTTAGACCCCATCACCTGTTGAACAGCTGAACATTGATGAAGGAGAAGATATGGGTCACCAGCTTGCCACAATCATGGACTCACAGGTTGATCAGCCATCAACCCCTCCCCTCACCAGCCGCCCCGCAGATCCCCTCGGACCCCCCTCACCTGTTGAACAGCTGAACGTTGATGAAGGAGAAGATCTGGGTCACCAGCTTGCGCACCAGGAAGGACGGCACGTGGCTCGCCTTGAGTGTCGTCAGCAGCGCGGTGAGGCTTGAGATGATGCTGCCCCAGTGGCTGCTCAGCGCCTGGGAGGCTGTCGCCACTGCGGGCGCTCCTCGGTTGGACGAGTGCCGGCCGTAGGCCGATCGAGAGATGCGGGGGGCCTGAGTGGGGGGGGGGGCAGTGTGTAGGCACATAGGTGTGTGAAAGAGAGAGAGAAAGAGAGGTAAGAGAGGGGGGGGACGCGAGACATGCGCCGATGGAGCAGTAGATCGGTGAGGCTTGAGATGACGCTGCCCCAGTGGCTGCTCAGCACCAGGGAGGTGGTCGCCACTGCGGACACTCCTCGGTTGGACGAGTGCCGGCCGTAGGCCGATCGAGAGATGCGGGGGGTGGGGGGGGAGGGGGGGGGAGTGTGTAGGCGCATAGGTGTGAGAGAGAGAGAGAGAAAGAGAGGTAAGAGAGGGGGGGGACACGAGACATGTGCCGATGGAGCAGTAGATCGATGAGGCTTGAGATGCTGCTGCCCCAGTGGCTTCTCAGCGCCTGGGAGGCTGTTGCCAACTTGCCACTGCGGGCGCTCCTCGGTTGGAGGAGTGCCTGCTGTAGGCTGATCGAGATATGCGGGGAGCCTGAGGGGTGAGGGCGTATGTTTGGGTGGGGGTGGGTGGTACGTGTGAGGCAATGTGAGAGAGCGGAGGTGAAAGGGGATGGGACATGAGGCAATGGAGTGAGCAGTGCGGTGAGGCTTGAGATGATGCTGCCCCAGTGGCTGCTCAACGCCTGGGAGGCGGTCGCCACTGCGGGCGCTCCCCGGTTGGACGAGTGCCGCCGTAGGCCGTTCGAGAGATGCGGGGGGCCTGAGGGGAGGGCTATGTTTGGGTGGGGGGGTGATGGTACGTCTGAGGCAGAGAGTGAGAGTGAGAAGGGAGGGAGAGCGGACGTGAAAGGGGATGGGACACGAGGCAATGGAGCAGCAGCACGGTGAGGCTCGAGATGATGCTGCCCCAAGGGCTGCTCATTGCCCCTAGACCCTGAGAGGCTGTCGCCACCGCGGGCGCTCCCTGGTGGGAGGAGTGCCGCTGTAGGCTGATCGAGAGTTGGTGGGGGGGGGGGGGTGTTTGTTCATAAGAGAGGGAGAAAGAGAGGAGAAGGAAGGGGTGAGTCAAAAGCGAGAGAGGAAATGATGAGAGGAAGACCTTAAATCGTCTCCTTGAGACGATTGTCCTTGAGACCGCGGTTGGTCTTGACTGGGTGTTGATAGGTGAACCAGGAGGTATTGCTGTTGAAAACATGGATGGCAACACGAGAAATCAAACAAAACATCCACACACCCCCCGTCCCACCTGGATGCACTGGGCCAGCGTGGGTGAGATGTCCTTCTTGAGGTTGTCGCGGATCATCCCATAGATCTTCTCCACATATGCGGTGAGCTGCTGCTTGAACAGCAGCGCGGGGTATTTGGCCTCCACCTGAGGGATGTGCTCCAGCCCTCCACTCGCCCCCACCACCCCTGTGGGGGTCGTGGGAGAGCCACGGAAGCTCTGAGAGGAGTGGGGGGGAGAGGGGGATGGGGAGAGAGGGATGGGGAGAGGGGGATGGGGAGAGGGGGATGGGGAGAGGGGGATGGGGAGAGGGGGATGGGGAGAGGTGGGGGCGGGCGGGGAGAAGGAGCAGAGTGAAAGAGGGATCTTCTCCAAATACGCGGTCAGGTGCTTGGCCTCAAATTCAGGGCGTGCTGCAGGCCTTTGAGGCGCCTCAAAAGCACTCTCAAATTCAGGCCTGCTGCTCCAGGCCGCCACCCGCCCCTACCACCGCAGTGGGCGTTGTGGGGGAGCCGCGGAAGCTCTGTGAGAGTGGGAGGGAAGGGAAGGGAGGGGGTGGTGGGGGGGGGAGGGTGGGGGTGAAGAAGGAGTAGACTCAAAGAGGGATCTTCTCCACATACGCGGTCAGCTGCTGCTCGAACAGCAGTGCCAGGTATTTCGCCTCCACCTGCGGGATGTGGCTCCAGCCCTCCGCTCAACCCCACCACCCCTATGGACAGTGTGGGAGAGCTGCGGCTTACAGCAACAGACAGCAACAGAGATAAACGTCCAGTTTTGAGGCGCATCAAAACCGGATATATTTCATCACCCTGGGACCCCTCTGCTTACTACACCAGGGTAGAATCACGCTGCCAACCCAAACCCTGTACCTGAGTCATGCGAATGAACAGGGTGGTCTGCTGGCGCACGCCCCTCCTCCTCTGCACCTGGGACCCCATGGGCGCCCCACTAGCCTTGAGTGCAGCGCAGTACCCGGATATTCTCCCCACCCTGCTGCAGCCCCTCTGCTCACTGCGCTCCCAAACCCCGTACCTGAGTCATGCAGCCGAACAGGGTCTGCTGGCCCACACCCCTCCTCCTCTGCACTCGGGACCCCGGCGCGCTGCTGAGCTTCAGCGCAGTACCAGTTAGACTAAACCCTGCACCCAAACGGATACCCTGGTCTCTAGCAAAACCCCGTACCTGAGTCATGCGGCCAAACAGGGTCTGCTGGCCCACGCCCCTCCTCCTCTGCGCCTGCGACCCCAGTGCACTGCTCGCATTGAGCGTCCTCTGCAGCAGGAACAGCAGGCAGCTCGTGTTGGCCAGCCAGTAGGCCAGCTTGTCGTTGTTTTTTTTTTTTCTAGATCGCCCCCCGATGGACTTCCTTTCCCAGTCTTGCCTTGAGGCCAGTTAGCCTAAACCCTGTGCCTGCAAGGACGCCCTAGAGGCCAGCAAAACCCCGTACCTGAGTCATGCGGCCGAACAGGGTCTGCTGGCTCACGCCCCTCCTCCTCTGCGCCTGGGACCCCGGTGCACCGCTCGCCTTGAGCGTCCTCTGCAGCAGAAAGAGCAGGCAGCTCGTGTTGGCCAGCCAGTAGGCCAGCTTGGCGTTGCTCTCCTGGTTCTCAATGGCCCCCCCGATGGTCTGGATGATGCGGTCGAACACGTTCGTGCGCTCCGCCTCAAACGACCGCCAGTGCAGCAGCGCCTTGTACGTCAGGCACGCCACCACCGGCCGGCTGCTGTCGAACCCAAGCTCGCTCACTATCGCCTTCAAGAGCGCGTCCTGGTCTTGCTGTTTGTTTTGGAGGAAAAGAGAGGATGTGGGGGGAAAGTGGGGGGGTTGTGAGGGGGGGATAGAAGGGGGCGCAGTGGGGGGAGCCAACAGTCGGGGGGCCACGAAACAGATGATGGGATGATTAGGAGCAAGCAAAGGAGGAGTGCCAGTGCAGCAGCGCCTTGTACGTCAGGTACGCCACCACCGGCCGGCTGCTGTCGAGCCCAAGCTCGCTCACTATCGCCTTCAGAAGCGCGTCCTGGTCTTGCTGTTTGTTTTGGAGGAAAAGGGACGATGCGGGGAAAGGGGGAGGGGGGGGTGGGAGGAGAAGGGGAGGGTTGTGGGGGGGGGGGGCAGCGAGGAGAGTGCAATGGGGGGAGCCAACAGTTGGGGGGCCAAGAAACAGATAATAAGGGATGAAGGGGAGCAAAGGAGGAGCGCCAGTGCAGCAGCGCCTTGTCGAGACGGGGGGAGGAGGAACAGGCGCTGTGAGGGGGCACGAAGTGGGAAAAAAGGGTGGTGCTTTGGGGTCAGTGCAGGGATGAAAGAGGAGCGGGAGGGGAGGAAGAGCGCAGGGCTCTGTAGGTGAGGCGAGCTGTCTTCTCTCCACCTCACTGGGCGAGCTGTCTTCTCTCCACCTCACTGGGCGAGGAAGAGATGCTCAGTAGCGGGCGGAGAGGCTTTTGAGTCGACTAAAAAGTCACCCCGGTGCCCAGTGCTGGGCGAGTCACCATGCAAACGGGGAAAGTGCATGGCAACTCCGGAAAGTGCAGCATCTGCAGTCAATCCTCCATACACAAGTCACCACCATGAACTTTCCCTCGTGCAACCACGATTTGTCAGTCATTCAAATGCACGAGCCATTCACACTCCACCGCACTAGGAGTGGCAGGGGCGCCCTGCGGTGACCCCAGCGGGTGCAGCACCTGCGCCCCCACAAAGCATATCCAGCAGTCTGTTTCTAACCACTTACAGTTTGCCTATCGTTCAAATGCATGAGTTTGCTCCCCACCTCACTGGGCATCGCAGGGGTACCCTGCGTGACTCCGGCGGGGGCAGCACCGGCGCCCCCACAAAGCACATCCAGCAGTCTGTTTCTAACCACTCACAGTTTGCCTGTCATTCAGATGCTTCAGCCGCTTGCTCTCCACCTCACTGGGCGTGGCAGGGGTGCCCTGCGGCGACTCCGGTGGGTGCAGCATCTGCGAGCGAGGGGTGGTGGGCGAGGGCATCCCATTCTCCAGCTGCTGCCGCGAGTACAGCGAGGCAGGCAGCGGGCCACGGGGCAGCCCGGCCTTGGCTGGCATGGCGGCGTTCAGCGCCTGCTGCCTGAGCACCTGGTTCTCCTGCTCCGCGTTCTTCACCTGCTCCTCCAGCCTGTGGGAAAAGGGGGATATGGTGAGAAGGGTGGAAAAGAGATTGAGACGTCTCAATAAGCAGAGAGGGCCTGCTGCCTCAGCACCTGGTTCTCCTGCTCCGCGTTCTTCACCTGCTCCTCTAGGCTGAAAGGGGGGGGGGGGGTGAGGGAGGGAGGGTGAGGGTGTGCAGGAAGCTTATGAGATTTCGTCAAAGCAGCGAGGGCCTGCTGCCTCAGCACCTGGTTCTCCTGCTCCGCATTCTTCACCTGCTCCTCCAGGCTGTGGGGAAATGGGGAGTGAGGGTGAGGGGGTGCGGGAGAGAGGGGGTGAGGGGGTGTGGAGGCGAGGGGGTGCGGAAAGCTTATGAGGTGTCTCAGAACCAGCGAGGGGCTGCTGCCTCACCACCTGGTTCTCCTGCTCCGCGTTCAAGCACTCACCGCACGCACAGCTCCTGCACCTTCCGCAGCTCCTCCTGCGTCTCCTCCAGCACCCTCTCCCGCTTCTCAATCTCCTCCTTCACCTCCGCCTCCAGCTGCGCCACCCTCTCGTCACTCTCCGCCAGCAGCGCCTTCAGCTTCACGTTCTCCAGCGCCAGCTCCTTGCTCGCCGCAGCAGCAAGACCCCCCCCCTCAGAAGCAGCAGCAGAGAGAGCGGAGCTGCCGAGGTTGAATGACCCGGCGGATGTGGCGAGAGACGCGGCGGCAGAAGCAGGGAGGGTGGTTGTTGTAGGTGTGATAAAGGGGGACCCTGGGGTGGAAAGCGCACGGCGGGGAGGGGAGGAAGTGGCAACAGCGGCTGCTGCGACTGCAGAGGAGGAAAGAGAACCAGCAGCGGCAAGCGCAGCAGATGCAGATGCAGAGGAAGTGACACCTAAATGTGCCCCTGAAGCAGCAGCCGCAGCCGCAGCAGCAGCAGCAGCTAGGCTCTCAGGGTCGTGGGTTCTGGAGGCGATTTGAGCGGACTGGGTGGTCAGCTCGTGGGAGAGGCGCTGGGACTCGGCCTTGGCTTCGTGGGTCTCTGCCTGCGCCTCGTCCACCTTCCTCATTGCTCCCTCCAGCTCCGACTGCAGCTTCTGGATCTCTGCTGTCTTCGCCTCCTCCATGTCCAACTGATAGGGGGATGTGAAAGGTAGGGGATTGGAGAGGCGTGCAGAGCTGAGAAGGTGAGGGGAAACGGTAAGGGGGTGTGCAGAACGGTGCAGCGGTGAACAGCAAGCAGTGGCGTCTCCCTCCAGCTCCGACTGCAGCTTAAGGATCTCCGCTGTCTTCACCTCCTCCATGTCCAGCTGAGAGGAGGGATACGAAAGCAAGGGGAATGAAACTGAGTGAAGAGTGGTGCAGAGGGGTGACGGCTGCAGCTTCTGGATCTCTGCAGACTTTGCCTCCTCTATGTCCAGCTGATAGGGTAAGGGGAAGGGGGTGGAGGAGGAGGGAAACGGTAAGGGGATGTGCCGAACGGTGCAGTGAGGTGTACAGTTAGCGGTGGTGATTCCCTTTACAGCTCCGACTGCAGCTTCTGGATCTCCACTGTCTTCACCTCCTCCATGTCCAGCTGATGGGGGGTTGTGGAAGGAAGGGGAATGAAAATGAAATTGAGTGGAGAGTGGTGCAGAGGGGCGAGGGGCGAAATTCCCAGGGTTCCTCTCTCCAGCTCCGACTGCCGCATCGGAATCTCTGCTGTCCCTCTATGCCCACCTCATGGGGAGATGCGGAAGGGAGGGTGTTCAAGAGTTCAAGAGAGGAAGTTCTGTTGGGTACACCGTGCACCCCCTGAGCGCAGATCTAAGGGGCAAAAGCACCAAACTCCTCTCCCTCTAACTTCTGAATCCCTGCCAGGGCATCCTTGAATCAAAGAAATCACCTCCATAAACTAGAGTAAAACAGAATGAGCTTAGAAAGAGCCAGCATGGGAGCAGCGCCATCAAGCAGCACCAACCCCCGTCAAGCAGCACTCACCCGCATTCGCTTCTCCAGCTGCAGCCGCCACGTGAGCTCCTCACACTGCTTCTCCAGCTTCGTCTTCGCCTCCTGCAGCGCCCCTGTTTGCTTCGCGTCCTGCAATCGTGGGATATGAGGTTGGCATGGTATGGTAGGACATGGCATGGCATGGCAGATTCCATCGACAACTCAGAGCTACTCGCACTGCGTGTGCAGCTTCGCCTTCGTCTCCTGCAACGCACCCGTTTGCTTTGCGTCCTGCGGTCATGGGATATGGGACGGAGGTTGGCATGGATGGGCATGGCATGTCATAGCAAACTGCATACACATCTCAAAGCTGCCCGCACTGCTTCTCCAACTTCGTCTTTGCCTCCTGCAGCGCCCCTGTTTGCTTCGCATCCTGTGGTCACGGATATCGGGGTGTTGCATGGTAGGGTATGGCATGGCGTCGCATGTTATGGCATGCCGCATGTATGGCAACTTTGGCATGTATGGTCTGTACGGTATGTATGGCTCAGTTTGCCATGCTGTACCAATGCATGGCATGGTGTTGTGTGGGAACATGTGAAGCGCCCACATGTGCACACTCAAGCATTATGCAGTGCAACCCAGCATCATGAACCATGATCACATGCGAACCATGATCACATGCATCTCGACAGACACCATGCCTCCAGCCCCATAAAAAAGCCATAACCCCATGCCCCGCACTCACATGCTTGAGCTTCTTGAGCTCCTCTCACATGTTAGCTGGACGCCAGGCAAGTTAGCTGAACGCCAGGCAAGGTGGCTGGCCGCTGGTACAAAGAAGAGAACCCCTAAACCCGCACTCACGTGCTTGAGCTTCTTGAGCTCCAGGCGACCAGCCCTGCCCCTCCATGCAGACTGGAGGACAATGGCGCTCCTCTTCTGCCTCCCATACTCCTGCTGCTGCACGTGGCCCCGCCACTTGGTCTGCATGCAGCAAGCAGCGGGGAATGAGCAAGCAAGCAGGCAGAAGGAGAAGTTAATCCAAGTACAGAAGTAGGAGAAACAAGCAGTGCTCCTCTTCTGCATCCTGTACTCCCTCTGTTGCACGTGGCCCCGCCACTTGGTCTGCGTGCAACAAATAACGCCACACAGCACATGTTATCCCATGTGCAACACCACGGCGCAGGGATTGAGGGGGGCGAAGGCGAACGGGCCATTCACACACCGGAAAATCTGGTGCAGCAACCGGAGAAAGAAGCTCTGAGAAGCTCTGCAGCAGGAAAAGGCTCAGAATCCGCCCCAAGGCCCACCCAGACATACCGTCCCAAGGGGCCCAGCCCCACCTGTATCTTGACAGCAGCCTTGTTCTGCCTTCTCTCCCTTACCCTCTTGCAAGCCACCATGCCCCTCACCCCCACTGCACCACCACTGCCACCTGCACACCCCTACAGTCACACCTCCGTACAATCACCCTTCCCACCTGAATCTTCACAGCGGCCTTGTTCTGCCTCAACTCCCTCGCCTGCTTGCGAGCCGCCATGCCCCTCACCCCCGACTGCACCACCACTGCCGCCCGCCGTGTCCGCCGATACTTGCTCTGAGCCACAAACCGCCGCACGTGCTTCTGCAGCCGCACTGCTGCTCCGTTCCGCCGAATGCTCTCGTACTGCAGGCGGGCCTTGTGGCCTGAAAATGGGCGGGGGGAAGGGGGGGTTGGGGACAGGGGGGGGAGAGGAAGGTGGGGGGAAGTTGTTCTTTGAGAATTCTCAAAAACCAGCTTACTGAATGCTCTCATACTGCAGGCGGGCCTTGTGGACTGAAAATGGGCGGGGGAGAGGGGAGGGGGCGGGGGGGAGAAAGGGGGGGCGAGGGAGGTGGGGGGAAGGGAGGGGGGCGGGCTTTGCTGGAGTGGTTGGGGTGCAGGGAGGCGCATAGAGTAGGGCCACCAGGAAACTCGCACAGAAGCTGCATGCGCCGGTACTTGGCCTGAGCCACGAAGCGCCGCACGTGCTTCTGCACGCGGCGCACTGCTGCCACGTACTGCTTCTCAAGAACCACCCCTCTGTCATCCTTCCCCCTGTCTCACCTTGCCACAGCGCCTGCACTCGCAGCACCCCCGCCCGCAGGCGCTGAAACACGCGCCGCTGCTGCCCCTTGTATCCCCTATGAGTGGCCTTAAACAAGTGTGCATCCTTCCCTCTTCCTCACCTCGTCACAGCGCCTGCACTCGAAGCACCCCTGCTCGCAGGCGCTGGACTATGCGCCTCTGCTGTCCCTTGTATCCCCTTCGAGAGGCCTTATACAAACAAGTGCACATATTCACTAACGGCCCCACTCCCTTCCTTCCCCCTGTCTCACCTCGCCACAGCGCCTGCACTCGCAGCACCCCCGCCCTCAGGCGCTGGAAGACGCGGCGCTGCTGATACGCCTTGAACGCCCTCTGGATCACCTTCGCCGCCTCCCCCAGCTTCTCCGCCCTCATCGCATCTAGATCCGCCATCTGCCCCGCCCGCAGAAACACCTGGGTCTTGCCCACCTGTTGGGGGAAACACCAGGTGTGGGGGAGGAGGACGAGAGGGGGAGGAGAGGGAGGGGGAAGGTGGGGTAGTGAGAGTGTGATTCCCGAGAGGCGTTGAATGCCCTCTGGATCACCTTGGCCGCCTCGCCTAGCTTCTCCACCCTCATCGCGTCTAGATCCGCCATCTGCCCCGCTCGCAGAAACACCTGGGTCTTGCCCACCTGGTTTTGTTTTTCAGGGGGGGGGGGGAGGGGGGGGAAGTGTTTGTTCGGATTAGTGGGGAGAGGGGAGGAGGAGGGGGGAGGGAATTGGCCTCATCACGTCGAGGCCTGGCATCTGGCCCACAAAGAAAGACCAGGGCCTTTTCATTCTGCTTGCAGTTGGAGGAGGAAGCGGGGTGGGGGGGAGGGGGAGGGGGGGGTGGGTGAGGGTGGGGTTCATCACATCGAGCCCTGGCATCTGGCCCACAAAGAAAGACCAGGGCCTTTTCATTCTGCTTGTAAGTTGAGTTGACGGAGGAGGTGGGGCACGGGGGGGGCGGTGGGAGGGGGAGGGGCTGGCTTTTGAGAGAGAACTCGGATGAGCCATTTGGGCTGCAACAAAGGAAGAAAGGGTCAGCAGCAAATGATGGTGAAAGGCAGGGAGGAGCGGGCGGAGCCCACCCACCTGGTAGTTGGAGAAGCCAAGCTTGTCAAGAAGAGCTGTGATTGCCGCCTTGTCATCCTGGCTGTCGTGGTGTGGCACATGCAGTGCAACCAAACCAGCACCACCACCACGCAGGAGAAACAGCAAGAACCGCAAGAGATGGAAAAGGGGGGGGGGCAGTCAGCAGTAGGTTAGTTGTGAGATCGCGAGACGGACGGAGATCTGAGACAGGCACCACAGGCACCTGCCATCACCTGCCGCAGGGACAAGGAAGGAGACGCAGTTGAGCGGAACATGCGCCTCTGCATGCACTGTTGCGGCTGCTGAGGGCGAGAGCATGCACTGTTGCGGCTGCTGAGGGCGAGAGCATGCACTGTTGTGGCTGCTGACGGCGAGAGCATGCACTGTTGTGGCTGCTGACGGCGAGAGCATGCACTGTGGCGGTGCCAGGGTCAACACTTACCAGATCACTCACTCACACCGCGCATCTCACACATCACTCACCTGCCATCGGATGCCTCCGGCGCAATCAAGGAAAAACGGTTGAGGAACTCGTCAAAGGCGCCACACCTACCACACCTACCACACCTACCACACCTACCATATCCCACCTACCCCTGTCCACCCCACGATCTTGCAGGTGCTGTCTTACACCCCACTATCGCTCACCTGCCATCGCACGCCTCAGGCGCAAGGAAGGAGAAGCGGTCAAGGAACTCGTCAAAGGTGCGCCGGGTGGGGTAGCCCGCACAGCTAATTCGAATGGCCTCTAGCACACCCTGAGACACAGGGTGGGTGGGTGGATGGGGGGCGGTGGGTGGGTGGGTGCCAGAACGGATGAGTGGTGACGAGTGGGGTAGCCTGCACAGCTAGTGCGGATGGCCTCTAGCATGCCCAGGGAGGGAGACGGAGTGGGAAGCGGGTGAGCACAGCAGAATGACATGCTGATACGGTGGGTGGGGTAGCCAGCACACCTCATTCTGACAGCTTCAAGCACGCCCTGACTGGGAGGAGTGGAGAGGGGAGGAGAGGACTGGAGGGAGGAGAGGGACAGGTTAGAACAGGGAGGAAGAATATTTTTGAGGCGCCTAAAAAATGAACAGGGAGGAGGAATATTTTTGAGGCGCCTAAAAAATGAGCAGGGAGGAAGAACATTTTTTTCGTCGCCTAAAAAAACGAACAGGGAGGAAGAACATTTTTGAGGCGCCTCAAAAGTGAACAGGGTGGAAGAATATTCTTGAGGCGCCTAAAAACTGAACAGGGAGGAAAAATGTTTTAAGAGGAAAATGAACAGGTAGGACGAATATTTTTTACGCGCCTAAAAAATGAACAGGGAGCAAAAACATTTTTGTGGCGCCTAAAAAATGAACAGGGGGGAAGAATATTTTCGAGGCGACTCAAAAATGATTAGGGAGGAAGAATATTTTTTAGGCGCCCCAAAATTGTACAGGGAGGAAGAATTTTTTTGAGGCGCCTCATGAATGAACAGGGAGGAGGATTTTTTTTTAGGCGCCTCAAAAATGAACAGGGATGAAGAATATATTTTAGGCACCTAAAAAATGAACAGGGAGGAAGAATACTTTTGCGGCGCCTAAAAAATGAACAGGGAGGAAGAATATTTTAGAGGCGCCTCAAAAATGAACAGGAGGAATAATATTTTTGAGGCACCTAAAAAATGAACTGGGAGGAACAATTTTTTTTTAGGCGCCTCAAAAATGAACTGAGAGGAATTTTTTTTTTGAGGCGCCTAAAAAATGAAAAGGGAGGAAGTATATTCTTCAGGCGCATAAAAAATGAACAGGGAGGAAGAATAGTTTTGAGGCGCCTAAAATTGAACAGGGAGGAAGAATTATTTTCAGGCGCCTAAAAAATGAACAGGGAGGAAGAATATTTCTGAGGCGCCTCAAAAATGAACAGGGAGGAAGAATCTTTATGAGGCGCCTTAAAAATGAACAAGGAGGAAGAATATTTTTGAGGCGCCTAAAAAATGAACAGGGAGGAAGAATATTTTTGAGGCGCTGCAAAAATGAACAACGAGGAAGAGTATTTTTGAGGCTCCTCAAAAATGAACAGGGAGGAAGAATATTTTTGAGGCGCCTAAAAAATGAACAAGGAGGAAGAGTGTTTTTGAGGCGCCTAAAAAATGAACAGGGAGGAAGAATATTTTCGAGGCGCCTAAAAAATGAACAGGGAGGAAGAATATTTTTTAGGCGCATAAAAAATTAACAGGGAGGAAGAATATTTTTTAGGCGCCTCAAAAATGAACGAGGAAGAATGTTTTTTAGGCGCCTCAAAAATGAACAGGGAGGAAGAATATTCTTTAGGCGCCTAAAAAATTAACAGGGAGGAAGAATAGTTTTGAGGCGCCTAAAAAATGAACAGGGAGGAAGAATATTTCTGAGGCGCCTCAAAAATGAACAGGGAGGAAGAACAGCATCCCGCATCTCAGCCGGTGGGACAGCGTTGACGTCTTCAGACAGCTGTGGCTCAGATAACGTTGACCATATGCATTCGCAACACCACGCACATATCAAGTATGCATTCAACGGTCAACCATATACCATGTTTAAAACCAAGGAGGAGGAACAGCGCACACTCCGCATCTGAGCTGTTGAATGACATAGGCGTTCGCAAACAGCTGCGGCTTGCACATGTGGCACCCTCACGCATTGCATCACATCACATGGTTGAAAAACTCACTCCACATCGGAGCTGTTGAATGACGTTGGCGTTCTCAAACAGCTGCGGCTTGTACAGGCCGTTCGGCTTCACACAGCGGATGTAGTTCGGTTGGGTCTGGTTGAGAGTGGCCATGAGCTCTGCCAGTTGTTGCTGCGAGGAGAGCGACAAGGGCGAGAGGCAAAGGGGGTGGGGACGCGACAGATGGAGGTAAGGCTTGAGAAACAGGTGTGAGGTGTGTGAAACGCACCATGGCACAAATTGAAGCAAGGAGGGGCAGCGAAGCAAGGAGATCCAGACACACCTTGAAGCTGGAGACAAGGGAGGTGAACTTGGTCTTGGCCTTGTCACCGGCGGGGGATGAGGAAGACGTGCAAATACCTTCGTGCAAACATGCACCAAATACCTCTCCTGCAGCCCTTCTCCCCCCAGCCCCCCCCCCCCCCCCCCCAAAATCCCCCCCCAACCCCCCCTTGTGTAACCGTGGTGATTGCACCTTGAAGCTGGAGCCAAGGGAGGTGAACTTGGTCTTGGCCTTGTCACCGGCGGGGATGGGGAAGAGCGAGGCGACAAAGGGGTCCTTGGACTCGGAGAGCACCGTCTGGTGCTCCATCACCACATAGTCCTTGTTCTTCTCCAGAAACAGGTCGGTTTGATAAGTGACCTGGTGAATAGATGGGCAGGAAAAGCGTGGCAGAGAGAGAGAAAGGGAGAGGGAGCAGAGTGACCTGGTGAGAGGGGGATGCGAGATGAAGAGAGAAAAGAAACCAGAAGCAATTGCAACTAGGAGGAAGAGAATGAAGAGCATACGCTACCACCCGCAAGCAATGTCTGGTGCTCTATCACCACACTGCACTTGTTCTTCTCCAGAAACAGGTCCGTGTGATACAGGTCGGTGTGATACAGGTCGGTGTGATACAGGTCGGTGTGATACAGGTCGGCGTGATACAGGTTGGTGTGATACAGGTCGGTGTGATACAGGTCGGTGTGATACAGGTCGGTGTGATACAGGTCGGTGTGTTACAGGTCGGTGTGATACAGGTCGGTGTGATACAGGTCGGTGTGATACAGGTCGGTGTGATACAGGTCGGTGTGATACAGGTCGGTGTGTTACAGGTCGGTGTGATACAGGTCGGTGTGATACAGGTCGGTGTGATACAGGTCGGTGTGATACAGGTCGGTGTGATACAGGTCGGTGTGATACAGGTCGGTGTGATACAGGTCGGTGTGATACAGGTCGGTGTGATACAGGTCGGTGTGATACAGGTCGGTGTGATACAGGTCGGAGTGATACAGGTCGGTGTGATACAGGTTGGTGTGATACAGGTCGGTGTGATACAGGTCGGTGTGATACAGGTCGGTGTGATACAGGTCGGTGTGATACAGGTCGGTGTGATACAGGTCGGTGTGATACAGGTTGGTGTGATACAGGTTGGTGTGATACAGGTCGGTGTGATACAGGTCGGTGTGATACAGGTTGGTGTGATACAGGTCGGTGTGATACAGGTTGGTGTGATACAGGTCGGTGTGATACAGGTTGGTGTGATACAGGTTGGTGTGATACAGGTTGGTGTGATACAGGTGGGTGTGATACAGGTCGGTGTGATACAGGTTGGTGTGATACAGGTCGGTGTGATACAGGTCGGTGTGATACAGGTCGGTGTGTTACAGGTCGGTGTGATACAGGTCGGTGTGATACAGGTCGGTGTGATACAGGTCGGTGTGATACAGGTCGGTGTGATACAGGTCGGTGTGATACAGGTCGGTGTGATACAGGTCGGTGTGATACAGGTCGGTGTGATACAGGTCGGTGTGATACAGGTCGGTGTGATACAGGTCGGAGTGATACAGGTCGGTGTGATACAGGTTGGTGTGATACAGGTCGGTGTGATACAGGTCGGTGTGATACAGGTCGGTGTGATACAGGTCGGTGTGATACAGGTTGGTGTGATACAGGTCGGTGTGATACAGGTCGGTGTGATACAGGTTGGTGTGATACAGGTCGGTGTGATACAGGTTGGTGTGATACAGGTCGGTGTGATACAGGTTGGTGTGATACAGGTTGGTGTGATACAGGTTGGTGTGATACAGGTGGGTGTGATACAGGTGGGTGTGGTAGGTCACCTGGAGTGCAAGGGTAACGCAAGGTGCAGGAAAGAATGGGGTGCGTGTTCAATAACCTCCAATCTCTGTCGGGTACTCCATCACCAATAGCTTGCCGGCGCAGTGGTCAATGGTGAAGTCCGTCTGAGACAGCTTGGACTTTTGGAAATGAAAAGATGGCAGGCGGCTCACCTTGACTGAAATCACAGTGGCAGCAGAGCCTGGTCTCCTCAATCGTATTGCCACACGGACGCAATGCAAGGCCCACTGCGCTGACAAAGGCTCACACCTTGCCGGAGTAGTGGTCAATGGTGAAGTTTGTTTGCAACAGCTTGGGCTTTTGGAAGTGAGAGCACAGGAGTAGGCGGCTCACCTTGACTGGGATCACTCTGGCAGCAGTGCCTGATCTCCTCTATCGTACTGCCACAAGGTGGCAAATTGCCACAAAGAGGCAAGGCTCACCTTGACTGAAATCACAGTGGCAGCAGAGCCTGGTCTCCTCAATCGTACTGCCACACGGACGCAATGCAAGCCCCACTGCGCTGACGAAGGCTCACACCTTGCCGGCGTAGTGGTCAATGGTGAAGTTTGTTTGCGACAGCTTGGGCATTTGGAAGCGAGAGGAGGACAGGAATAGGCGGCTCACCTTGACTGGGATCATCCTGGCAGCAGAGCCTGATCTCCTCTATCGTACTGCCACATGCAGGGCAAGGCTCACCTTGCCGGCGTAGTGGTCAATGGTGAAGTCCGTTTGAGAGAGCTTGGGCTTCTCAAAGCGCGGGTGGGTGGCCACGGTCTGGTACAGCTTCGTGGCAAACGTCTCGTGGTTGGACTTGGGGAACATGCTGGTCGTGGGGGTGCGGGTGAAGAGAGAGAGGTTGGGAGAAAGGGGGTGTAAGTTTCATGGTTGGACTTGGGAAACATGCTGGTTGTGGGGATTCGAGGGAGCACGGGGAAGGGGGACATAGAGGAAAGACGGGGGGACAGCCCAGCTCAGTCGAATTCGAGAAACATGCTGGTCGGGAAATGGGTTTGGGTTTGGGGAGTGGGCGGCAGAATGGGACACAGGACGGAAAGTGGGAGACGCTGGTGTATAGAATTCTCAAAGAGGGCGGGACAGCTCAGTCAAACTGAGAAACATGCTGGTCGGGGAATGGGTCTGGGTGGGGGGGAGTGGGCGGAATGGAGCATGGGACGGAAGGTGGGACGAGTCGGTCACCTCATCGGAGAACGACAGGAAAGAGTAAGAGTGAAAGGGAGGTGGAAGGTGTGGATGGTGTGGGAACGAGGAAAGGGAGGATGTGTAGACACGACGATGTGTACAAGATGCCACGACATACCATTGTTCGTCGAGTAGTGAGATGATCCCCATCGGCTTCTGCACACACACACACCACATATGAGCGGCACACACCACATATGAGCGACACACACCACATATGAGCGACACACACCACATATGAGCAGTACACACCACATATGAGCAGTACACACCATATATGAGCAATACACACCACGTATGAGCGACACAAACCACATATGAGCAGTACACACCACATATGAGCAGTACACACCACATATGAGTAGTACACACCATATATGAGCAATACACACCACGTATGAGCGACACACACCACATATGAGCGACACACACCACATATGAGCGACACACACCTCATATGAGCAGCAGTACACACCACATATGAGCAGTACACACCACATATGAGCAGTACACACCATATATGAGCAATACACACCACGTATGAGCGACACACACATACATATGAGGAGATGGGTAGATGATGGCAGGTGACGCAAGACGGCACCCTCGCTTTGCTTGCACTAGGTCTAGGCTATCCCATGTTTCTGGCATGCCACAAGGGCAACACAGTGTCCATGCTGCCCAGTTTTGAGGCGCCTCAAAATGTGACGCGAGACGGCACCCACACACTGAGCTATCCCACGTTTCTGACATGCCAAAAGGGCATCACTCACTCAGTGTGCATGCTGCCCCCACCTTTACCATGCGCCCCAACACATCCTGGTTGTCCATGCATGCGTGCATGCATGTCATCAGACACCCCCCTGTCCGCACCTTTACCATGAGCCCCAACACATCCAGGTTGTCCATGCATTTGTGCATGCATGTCATCAGACGCCCCCCTGTCTGCACTATTTTGAGGCGCCTCAAAAATCGTCCGCACCTTCTTGACGAGCGGGTCGCCCAATTGATCTCCTTCTCCACCAGACCGCACGTCCTGGTTGCCCACAGACCGGTTTGAGGCAACTCAAACCATCGAACACACACGCACCTCCCACAGAGCATGCCATGCACCAGCATACCATACCATACCATACCATACCATAACATACCATGCCATACCATGCCATACCATGCCATACCATACCACCACATTGCCTGCCCGCACCTTCTCTATGAGCTCGAGCACGTCCTGGTTGTCCACAAACTCGATGTAGCTCCAGTTGATCTCCTCCTTCTCATACTCCTCCTGCTCTGCCTTGAACACGTGCTGGAGGGTCAAAGGGATGGGAGGACAGGGAGCGAAGGGAGGTTCGATGGGAGAGAAGGGGAAGTTGGATGTGAGGGTGGATGGGAGCACAGGGAGGGTGGATGGGAAGTTGGATGGGAGGGTGGATGGGAAGTTGGATGTGAGGGTGGATGGGAAGTTGGATGGGAGGGTGGATGGGAAGTTGGATGGGAGGGTGGATGGGAAGTTGGATGTGAGGGTGGATGGGAAGTTGGATGGGAGGGTGGATGGGAAGTTGGATGGGAGGGTGGATGGGAAGTTGGATGGGAGGGTGGATGGGAAGTTGGATGTGAGGGTGGATGGGAAGTTGGATGTGAGGGTGGATGTGAAGTTGGATGGGAGGGTGGATGGGAAGTTGGATGGGAGGGTGGATGGGAAGTTGGATGGGAGGGTGGATGGGAAGTTGGATGGGAGGGTGGATGGGAAATTGGATGTGAGGGTGGATGTGAAGTTGGATGTGAGGGCACAGGAAGGGCTAGCTCCAGTTGATCTCCTCCTCGTAATCCTCCTGCTCCACTTTGAACACGTGCTAGAGATTGGGAGGGATGGGACGGATGGGAGGGATGGATAGGAAGGGAGAGGAGCTTCCAGTCAGGATGGATGGGGGGGGAACGGGAGGGAAGGGGAAGCGAGAGTAGCTACAGTTAATCTCCTTCTCGCAGTCCTCCTGCTCCGCCTTAAACATGTGCTGAGGGAAGGGAGGAAAGGGAGAGGAGCCCACATGAATGTAAGAAAGAGAGAGATCCAGTTGATCTCCTTCTCCAGGACTGCTCAAAGCTGCATTTGGGTCTACCCAGAGAGAGAGAGGGGGGTGGGGGGGGGGGTGGGAGGAGGAATGGTGCTGCTGCAGTGTAGGCTCACCTGGTTGAAGTGCTGCTGGAGCTTCTCATTGGCGAGGTTGATGCAGAACTGCTCAAAGCTGCGGGGAGGGGATGCCGCAAAGAAGAACGGGGGGAGCACAGAGGAAGGGGAGGGGAGCGGAGGGGAGGGGAGGGAAGGGGCGCACATAGTTGTGGAAAGCTGGTAAGCTGACAGGGGAAAGCTTGGCATCATTTTTGAGTCGACTCAAAAGAAAGCTGGTAAGCTGGTAAGGGAAAGCTTGACATCAGGGAGGTATTAGAAAGTCCGGGAAAGAAAGGAAGAGGAACAACAGCAAGGAAGGCAAAAAGAAGGCATGAGGACGCTGCCAAGGCTGCATTGTATCTTAGAATAAACCTGCGCTAAGGTTCTGGAATAAACCTGCATTAAGGTCTTAGACCTCCCACAATAAACCTGCACTAAGGTCTTAAACCCCCCCCTCCCACGCTAAGTCTTCCACTCTTCTAAAATTATCAAAAGCCATCCCATGTGCTAACTTATTGCAGGGCATGACGTATTCTCAAAAACACCCTGAAAGGTTCCACCCGCTGACCTGTTCTGCTGGAAAGTCTCGAAGCCATAGATATCGAGCACGCCAATGATGGTCTTGGCATTGGGATCCTGCCCGATGGACTTATTGACCTTGTCAACGAGCCTGGGGCGAGAGGGAGACAGGGGAGGAGAGGAGAATCTCAGAGCCATAGATATCAAGAGCGCCAGTACTGGCCTTGGCGTTGGGATCCTGCCCAATTGACTTGTTGACCTTGTCAACGAGCCTGAGAAGAGGGGATGAGGGGCAGAAGGGGTCTCGAAGCCATAGATATCGAGCACACCAATGATGGTCTTGGCGTTGGGGTCCTGCCTGCCCGATGGACTTGTTGACCTTGTCAACGAGCCTGGGGCGAGGGGGAGACAGGGGAGGAGAGTCTCAGAGCCTGGGGCGAGGGGGAGACAGGGGACGAGAGGGGGCCAGTTTTTTAGGCGCCTCATAAATAGACCTCTTGGCATTAGGGTCCTGTCCTGCCCGATGGACTTGTTGACCTTGTCAACGAGCCTGGGGCGAGGGGGAGACAGGGGAGGAAGGTCTTAAAGCCATCAATATTAAGCACGCCTCCAATGGTCTTGTCGTTGGGATCCTGATTGGGTCCAATGAGGGGCAGATTGGGTCCCGATTGCCTTGTTGACCTTGTCAATGAGCCTGGGGCGAGGGGGAGGCAGTGGAGGAGAGGGTGGCTGGAAAGGCGGGGGCCGGGAAGGAACCTTTCTGGGAAGAGAGCATTCTGGCCCCTAACACTTGCTGATCTTTTCCAATAACCTGGGAAGGAGGGAAGGAGAGAGTGGAGAAGGAAGGAGGCACCACACACAAGCACTCAGAGAATCATTGCAACCGTCTCTGGGTTCTACAAAACAGGGAGAAAGAGGGCCAGTGGGAGCAGTGAGGGAGGCTAGGGGATACCAAGGTGGGGCGGGGAGGCAGGGGAAGGAGAGAGGTAAAGTGGATCAGGGAAGCGGTGCATGCAAGCAAACAACATTCACTTGGCAATGGAAACCTGCCGTTGTTGGAGCATAAAAGTACCAGTCCCACTCGTAGATTCTCATAGATTATCAAAGAGCCAGGGGTATAAGGCCTTGGCAAGGGAGGCACAGAAGGTCAAATTCTGAGCCACCTCAAAACCAGATCTATGACCGACCAGCTGATCTATGACCAGCTGATCTATGACCAGCTGATCTATGACCAGCTGATCTATGACCAGCTGATCTATGACCAGCTGATCTATGACCAGCTGATCTTTTAGTCGACTCAAAAATCATCTTCTGAACCACCTCAAAACCAGATCTATGACCAGCTGATCTTTTAGTCGACTCAAAAATCATCTTCTGAACCACCTCAAAACCAGATCTATGACCAGCTGATCTTTTAGTCGACTCAAAAATCATCTTCTGAACCACCTCAAAACCAGATCTATGACCAGCTGATCTTTTAGTCGACTCAAAAATCATCTTCTGAACCACCTCAAAACCAGATCTATGACCAGCTGATCTTTTAGTCGACTCAAAAATCATCTTCTGAACCACCTCAAAACCAGATCTATGACCAGCTGATCTTTTAGTCGACTCAAAAATCATCTTCTGAACCACCTCAAAACCAGATCTATGACCAGCTGATCTTTTAGTCGACTCAAAAATCATCTTCTGAACCACCTCAAAACCAGATCTATGACCAGCTGATCTTTTAGTCGACTCAAAAATCATCTTCTGAACCACCTCAAAACCAGATCTATGACCAGCTGATCTTTTAGTCGACTCAAAAATCATCTTCTGAACCACCTCAAAACCAGATCTATGACCAGCTGATCTTTTAGTCGACTCAAAAATCATCTTCTGAGCCACCTCAAAACCAGATCTATGACCAGCTGATCTTTTAGTCGACTCAAAAATCATCTTCTGAACCACCTCAAAACCAGATCTATGACCAGCTGATCTTTTAGTCGACTCAAAAATCATCTTCTGAACCACCTCAAAACCAGATCTATGACCAGCTGATCTTTTAGTCGACTCAAAAATCATCTTCTGAACCACCTCAAAACCAGATCTATGACCAGCTGATCTTTTAGTCGACTCAAAAATCATCTTCTGAACCACCTCAAAACCAGATCTATGACCAGCTGATCTTTTAGTCGACTCAAAAATCATCTTCTGAACCACCTCAAAACCAGATCTATGACCAGCTGATCTTTTAGTCGACTCAAAAATCATCTTCTGAACCACCTCAAAACCAGATCTATGACCAGCTGATCTTTTAGTCGACTCAAAAATCATCTTCTGAACCACCTCAAAACCAGATCTATGACCAGCTGATCTTTTAGTCGACTCAAAAATCATCTTCTGAGCCACCTCAAAACCAGATCTATGACCAGCTGATCTTTTAGTCGACTCAAAAATCATCTTCTGAACCACCTCAAAACCAGATCTATGACCAGCTGATCTTTTAGTCGACTCAAAAATCATCTTCTGAACCACCTCAAAACCAGATCTATGACCAGCTGATCTTTTAGTCGACTCAAAAATCATCTTCTGAACCACCTCAAAACCAGATCTATGACCAGCTGATCTTTTAGTCGACTCAAAAATCATCTTCTGAACCACCTCAAAACCAGATCTATGACCAGCTGATCTTTTAGTCGACTCAAAAATCATCTTCTGAACCACCTCAAAACCAGATCTATGACCAGCTGATCTTTTAGTCGACTCAAAAATCATCTTCTGAACCACCTCAAAACCAGATCTATGACCAGCTGATCTTTTAGTCGACTCAAAAATCATCTTCTGAACCACCTCAAAACCAGATCTATGACCAGCTGATCTTTTAGTCGACTCAAAAATCATCTTCTGAACCACCTCAAAACCAGATCTATGACCAGCTGATCTTTTAGTCGACTCAAAAATCATCTTCTGAACCACCTCAAAACCAGATCTATGACCAGCTGATCTTTTAGTCGACTCAAAAATCATCTTCTGAACCACCTCAAAACCAGATCTATGACCAGCTGATCTTTTAGTCGACTCAAAAATCATCTTCTGAACCACCTCAAAACCAGATCTATGACCAGCTGATCTTTTAGTCGACTCAAAAATCATCTTCTGAACCACCTCAAAACCAGATCTATGACCAGCTGATCTTTTAGTCGACTCAAAAATCATCTTCTGAACCACCTCAAAACCAGATCTATGACCAGCTGATCTTTTAGTCGACTCAAAAATCATCTTCTGAACCACCTCAAAACCAGATCTATGACCAGCTGATCTTTTAGTCGACTCAAAAATCATCTTCTGAACCACCTCAAAACCAGATCTATGACCAGCTGATCTTTTAGTCGACTCAAAAATCATCTTCTGAACCACCTCAAAACCAGATCTATGACCAGCTGATCTTTTAGTCGACTCAAAAATCATCTTCTGAACCACCTCAAAACCAGATCTATGACCAGCTGATCTTTTAGTCGACTCAAAAATCATCTTCTGAACCACCTCAAAACCAGATCTATGACCAGCTGATCTTTTAGTCGACTCAAAAATCATCTTCTGAGCCACCTCAAAACCAGATCTATGACCAGCTGATCTATGACCAGCTGATCTATGACCAGCTGATCTATGACCAGCTGATCTTTTAGTCGACTCAAAAATCATCTTCTGAACCACCTCAAAACCAGATCTATGACCAGCTGATCTTTTAGTCGACTCAAAAATCATCTTCTGAACCACCTCAAAACCAGATCTATGACCAGCTGATCTTTTAGTCGACTCAAAAATCATCTTCTGAACCACCTCAAAACCAGATCTATGACCAGCTGATCTTTTAGTCGACTCAAAAATCATCTTCTGAGCCACCTCAAAACCAGATCTATGACCAGCTGATCTTTTAGTCGACTCAAAAATCATCTTCTGAACCACCTCAAAACCAGATCTATGACCAGCTGATCTTTTAGTCGACTCAAAAATCATCTTCTGAACCACCTCAAAACCAGATCTATGACCAGCTGATCTTTTAGTCGACTCAAAAATCATCTTCTGAACCACCTCAAAACCAGATCTATGACCAGCTGATCTTTTAGTCGACTCAAAAATCATCTTCTGAACCACCTCAAAACCAGATCTATGACCAGCTGATCTTTTAGTCGACTCAAAAATCATCTTCTGAACCACCTCAAAACCAGATCTATGACCAGCTGATCTTTTAGTCGACTCAAAAATCATCTTCTGAACCACCTCAAAACCAGATCTATGACCAGCTGATCTTTTAGTCGACTCAAAAATCATCTTCTGAACCACCTCAAAACCAGATCTATGACCAGCTTCCTGAGAAGTTAGCTTCCCAGCCAACTTCTATAGTCAACTAGAGCACCGACTCAGAACCAGCTCACCAGTCAAACAATCGCGCGTAGATGGTCTTGGCGAGCGTGTCTCGGCTGATGAGCGCTGCAGCGGGGTCGAGCTCCTTCTTGATGTTGCCGTCCCGCGTCACCAGCGTGCGCGAGATGAGCGACTCCCTCAGCTGCTTCTTCTCCACCCTGCAGTGACGCATGGGGGGAGGGGGGAGGGAGGACAGCATGTAAGGACAGTGAACAACCAGCAGCACACAAGAAGATGGGGCCAACACCAGCGTGCGCGAGATGAGCGACTCCCTCAGATGCTTCTTCTCCACCCTGCAGTGACGCATGGGAATGAGGAAGCATGAAGATGCATGCAGATGCATGAAGATGAAAGGAAAGGAGAAGAAGCACAGGGGAACTTCAGATCGCGTGACCAGCGTGCGCGCGATGAGTGACTCCCTCAGCTGCATCTTCTCCACCCTGCGTCATGACGAAGACATGACACACGCGTGTGAGGGACGAGCGCATCCCTCAGCTTTTCCACCAGGTCAGGTCTGCTGCGAGAGACCTGAGCAGCTCTGTTGCGGCCTCCACGTGGTACTTGGACTCGCCCCTCAACCCGTCGGAGGAGTCGGGCTGCTTCCGTGGGAGCATACCCGAGCTGAGCCCCATACCTGATGCCTGCTTCTCACCTCAACAGCTCAGCAGCGGCCTCCAGGTGGTACTTGAACCTTTCGCCCAATACCTTGGAGGAGTCGGGCTGCTTGCCTGGGAGCATACCGGAGCACCTGAGCAGGTGAGCACCTTGGAGGAGTCGGGCTGCTTGCCTGGGAGCATACCGGAGCACCTGAACAGGTGAGCACCTTGGAGGAGTCGGGCTGCTTGCCAGGGTTGTGAACACTGGGGTCCGCCAAACTTGAGCATAAGAGTGGTTTGTCAAGCTGGTGCCGATACCATACCGGTGTATATTACCTCAGCAGCTGGGCAGCAGCCTCCAGGTGGTACTTGGACTTGTCGACCGACACATTGGAGGAGTCGGGCGGGCTGCTTTCACGGATTGTCCACCACCCCTGCCCATCGGAGTGATGATCTAAACTGATGCCCACTCAGGCCTGCTGCTCACCTCAGCAGCTGGGCAGCAGCCTCCAGGTGGTACTTGGACTTGTCGCCAGAAACCTTGGACGAGTCGGGCTGCTTGCCTGGCGCGAACGTGATGTTGCCCAGGTGGAGAATGGCCGCCACGACCTGGAATATGGCGTCCTGCCGTGTGGAGGGGGGGGGGAGGGGAGGAGAAGGGGGGTTGGGGATGGTTGGGAGGAAGGGCCGGGGGGGGGAGAGGGGGGGGAAGGGAAGCGGAAGACGCCCAGACAGAGAGGAGAAACGGAAGAGAACTCATATGGTGTGGTTCAAACACACAGAAAGTGAGAGACGGTTTGACGATATCTGCTCCCTTTCATCCCTCCCATCCTACCTGTTCCTCAGGGCGCAGCCCGACCATGTCGATGGCCCGCCTCATCTGGATGTACTCATCCGCATTGCTCTGCTTGTCCTCCTCTCCTCTTAACTTCCACCCTACCACCTGCCCACCCTACCCGTTCCTCGGGGCTGAGCCTGCCCACGTCCATGGCCCGCCTCTTCTTGATGTGCTCAGCTCATCCGCATTGCTCTCCTTGCCCTCCCCTCCTACCCGCTCCCTCAACCTCGATCTATACCTGCTCCTGCAATCACTCCTGCTCGTCAGCCCTACCTGTTCCCTTCCCTCGACCACATCCCTACCTGCTCCTCGGGGCTGAGCCCAACCACGTCCATGGCCCGCCTCGTCTTGATGTACTCGTCTGCGTTCGTGTCCTTTCCCGGCAGCTCGAAGCAGCTGCTCTGGTTGAGGTAGTGGAACGTCTCTGCTGGCGCCAGCTTCAGCTTCTCCACCTCCTGTTAGAGGCATGGGGTATGGGAAACATGAGCATGGGGTATGGGGAAACATGGGCATGGGGTATGGGGAAACATGGGCATGGAATGTCTCCGCTGGCGCCAGCTTCAGCTTCTCCACCTCCTGTGTGGAGGCATGGGGCATGGAGGGGGCATGGGGGCATGGGGCATGCATGGGGTATGGGGCATGGGGTCACTGGGGTGAGTTAGGCATATAGGTATGGGGGGGGCACGTGGTCATGGGGCGCGTATGGCAGCTCGAAGCAGCTGATCTGGTTGAGGTGGTGGAAGGTCTCAGCTGGCGCCAGCTTTAGCTTCTCCACCTCCTGCAGGCACATGGGGATGAGGGCATGGGGAGAGGCAGGCATATGGTGATACGTTGAGTGAGGGGCATGGTCATGGTCATGGTCATGGGCATGGTCATGGTCATGGTCATGGGCATGGTCATGGTCATGGTCATGGTCATGGTCATGGTCATGGTCATGGTCATGGTCATGGTCATGGTCATGGTCATGGTCATGGTCATGGTCATGGGCATGGTCATGGGCATGGTCATGGGTGAGTAAGGCAGCTTCAAGACTCTGCTCGGGTTGAGGTAGCGAAACATATCTGCTGGCGCCAAAAAGCAGAAACGGAGTACAGGTTAATGCAGGGGATGGGCCCGAGCAGAGCTAGCAGAAGCAGTGGTAGTTGCTCTTGGCAAGGGGTCTCCTATCTGAACCACCCTTGGACCTCTCCAGCAGGTACGTTTTTCAGAATTCTCAAAAACACCCTGCAAAATCACGTGTATTTTGAGTCGACTCAAAATAAAACACCCTGCAAAACCACGGTCTGATATCTGCACAACCCTGGGACCTCTCCGGCAGGTAGGTACGTGCGCACAGCAATACTCGGCACATTGCCCCTCCTGCCACACTTCTACCTCGAACAAGCACTACAACTTGCCTCTGATTTTTTAGGCGCCTCAAAAATCGTCTCACTGCCCCTCTGCCAAACTGCTACCCCTCATGACTTGTCTCAAGGGAAGCGCCCGAGCAGAGCTGGTAGAAGCAGTGGTAGTTGCGCTCGGGGTCTGATATCTGCACCACCTGCGACCTCTCCAGCAGGTACACACGCACAGCAGTACTTGACACACTGCCCCTCCTGTCAAACTTCCTCTCACAGGCACTTGAATTTGCCTCTGATTTTTTAGGTGGCTAGAAAACGTCACACTGCCCTGCTTGTCACCCAAGCACTGGAACTTGCCTCAGGGGAGGCACCCGAGCAGAGCTGGTAGAAGCAGTGGTAGTTGCGCTCGGGGTCTGATATCTGCACGACTCGTGACCGCTCCAGCAGGTACGTGCGCACAGCTGCTCCTGAGATGCGTCCAGATTCATCGAACTGAATTTCCACGAACTTGCCGAAGCGACTGCAGGACAATCGGTGTGTGGACGAAACGGAAGGGGAGGGCTTTTGAGTTGATTCAAACGGCACAGCTGCTCCTGAGATGCATCCAGATTCATCGAACTGAATCTCCACAAACTTGCCAAAGCGACTGCAGGGTAATCAGTGTGTGGGTGGAACGGACAGGGGTTCTAGAATCGCCTCATTGATGCTCTGAACTGGATCTCCACAAACTTGTCAAAGCGGCTGCACGTTGAGTGTGTGCAAGGGAGGGGGAGCGAGTTGGAAATGGTGGGGCAGGGGGAGAGGGGTGTGGGGAAGGAGGTGGGGGAAGAGGGGGGAAGAAGGTGGGGGAAGAGGGGGGAAGAAGGTGGGGGAAGGTGGGGGAAGAGGGTGGGGGAAGAAGGTGGGGGAAGAAGGTGGGGAAAGAAGGTGGGGGAAGAGGGTGGGGGAAGAAGGTGGGGGAAGAAGGTGGGGGAAGAGGGTGGGGGAAGAAGTTGGGGGAAGAAGGTGGGGGAAGGAGGTGGGGGAAGTAGTTGGGGGAAGGTGGGGAAAGAAGGTGGGGGACGAAGGGGAGTTGAGACGGCACAACAGGGGTTCTGGGAGGGGGGGTTGGTTGGGACAGGCGGCAGCGGGATGGGGTCGGGCTAAGAAAAAGTTGTGGGTTAGGGTGGTGAGGTGAGGACGAGGAGGAGAGGAGGAGCCTCCCTCACCTGGAGTTGTTGTTTCTGACAGCTTTTGAGCTGACTCAAAAGGGTGGTTTTGAGTCGACTCAAAAAGGGTGGTGAGGAGGAGGAGGAGGAGTATCCCGCACCTGGAGTTGTTGTTTCTGACAGTCTTGGCATTCCCAAACGCCTCCAGCAGCGGATTCGACTGCACACAGCAGGCCAGGCCAGCAACAGCATCAGCAACGAACATTCTTGAGCACTCAGGCCCGCAAAGACCAAAGTGATTAGACCAAAGTCATCTTGGAAATTTTTCAAAAAGACCAGACTGAACTCCACTTGGATCACAAAACACCAGATTGAACAGAACGAGCAGGATGCAAAGCGCACCTGCAGCACTTGCGCCTCCACTGATCAGCCCTCTATGGCCCGCCCTCCCATGTACGCCAGGTACTGCATGAGCAGCTTCGTGGTCTGCGTCTCGCCGGCACCACTCTTGCTGCCTGCATTTTCTATCACACAAATCAAGACGTACCTCGAGCACTTGCGCCTCCACCGATCGTCCCTCTGTGGCCCGGCCGCCCATGTACGCCAGATACTGCATGAGCAGCTTCGTGGTCTCTGTCTTGCCGGCACCGCTCTCCCCGCTCACCAGGATGGACTGGCTCGACTTGTAGTCCACCATCGCCCTGCGACCAGCCACAGGTAGTGGATGTTGCCAGGAAACAGGGTGAAAGGGTGGTAGAGTGGCAGGGTGGCAGGGTGGCAGGGTGAGCGGGTGACAAGGGAGACAAGGATGAACTGGCTCGACTTGTAGTCCACCATCGCCCTGCCATTCGCCACAGGCACGGGATTACCAGGTGGGTAGGGTTACAAGACCACAGCATGACAGGGTGGCAGGGTGGCTGGGTGGTGGGGTATGCCATTCCGGAATCCGGAGTCGGAGGAAACAGTGTCAGAAGCGACAACTGGAAGGGCAGTCAGGGACAGCCACATACCCAACAGCAGACAAACAGACAGACAGACAGACAGTTGTATACACGAGCACCGCGCCGCACCCAGAAAGACCTCACCTGAATGAGGTTTCAGCGATGGCAAAGACGTGGGGGCTGAGCTCGCCAAGGCGGGAGCCCCGGTACTGCTCCATCATGTGCACGTCGTACAGGTGGGGTAGCCGCTGGAAGGGATTCACGGCGATGAGAATGCTGCCCGTGTATGTCTGCCATGTTAAAAACGAAAAATGCGACAGTGGGAGAGATTTGAGGCGACTCAAAGACAGCCTCTGGAAGGGGTTCACGACAATTAGAATGCTGCCTGTGTGCGTCTGCGCATGTACCACGGCCAGGCCCACTTTGTCCGCGTGTTGCAAGAAATGCGGGTCAGCAGGGGGTTCGAAAATAAGGCGGAGCAATAGGCTAAAGCCCAGGTACAGAATAGCAACTAGACGAACAGAGAGTTAGTAATACGCGGAAGCATTGTCCACGTGTCCGAGAAGCATATGTCCACGTGTTCACGTGACGAGCGTCAGTGAGAGGTCCGAGAGGCCGAGCGCGAGAGGCCGAGCACAACCGTGCGCGTGCAGCACCCCGACAACATCCATGCGTGCAAGAAAGACGTGGAAGTAGCATGGACTCTGCTGTAAGATAGTGACAGCTGCAGGAGAAGAGGTGGTAACTCACGTAGATTTCGTCAAGGGGGTATCTCACGACGAGGTTGTGCAGGACCCCCGGCTCGTGGAGGTACGCGAACTTCGTTTAGGCGACAAGGAGCCAGTTGCTGGGCGAGGAGGTGGTAACTCACGTAGATTTCGTCGAGCGAGTATCGCACGGCGAGGTTGTGCAAGACCCCCGGCTCATGGAGGTAAGCGAGCTTCGTCATATCGTCCACACCGCCGCTCGGCGCGTCCGGATCCTTGGGGTGGATGTGCTTCAGCCGGTACACCGTCTGCAAGGGAAAAAGCAGTCTCTATGAGTCGGCGCTCGGTGCGCCTGGGCGACTCTCTAGGATTCGACTCAAAAGACCCTGTTCGGCGCGTATCCTTCGCGTGGATGTGCTGCAGCCGGTAGACCGTCTGCTGGGAAAAAAACAGTCTCTGTGAGTCGGCTCTAAGGTCACTGCTTGAGCAGACGTACAGTACAGACGCGATAAAAAACCGGCGAGTCTGGGTCCTTGGGATGGATGTGCTTCAGCCGGTAGTCCGAACGTTCCTGGCTCAGGTCGACGTGAGACACTGTTCACGTGATACGATACGTCTAGCGTGATATGATTCGCAGAATAACGGGACGAGACCGGAATCCGCTGGCGCCGAGCATGTAACGAAATGATTCCGTCGCCATGGGGCTTTGCGAACTTCAGAGGTTTGGAAGGTTCAGACGTCAAAAGCTGATATAAGCCGAACGATTCGGTCGTTTCTATACGAACCTCCTTGTCCCCGACTTTGACGGTGACCTTCTTCTTCTCCACCTTGACCACCTCCCCCTCCACCCATGCCTGCTCCGCGTCCTCCACCCACACGTACGACCCCACGACGACCTTCGCATCTGCCGTCTGGGAACGAGGTAAGGGGAACCAAAACGACTATTGAGTCGACTCAAGAGTCACGTGCGATCCCACGACAACCTTCGCATCTGCCGTCTGGGAAACGAGGTAAGGGAAACCAAAATGACTATTGAGTCGACTCAAGAGTCACGTACGACCCCACGACGACCTTCGCATCTGCCGTCTGGGAAACGAGGTAAGGCAAACCAAAACGACTTCTGAGTTGACATAAAAGTCTTCCGCATTTGCCGTCTGCGGAAGGGGTAAGGGAGCCGAGACAGGATTATTCGGAAACTCGCTGGCATGTGAGGAACGTGCAGAGATGGAATGCCATGCGATTCAGAACGCGCGTCCTACCATGCTGTGGATTCACTGATACTTGGCCGCTAGTGGAATCACACGGATCCGATCAGCATGGCCAGCACGCGAGAGGATAGTCCTTAGGACGTGAAAGGCGGGCTTAGGAGACAAAGCTCGAGGCAAATCGAGATTCCTGAGGTCAACTTCCTCCTCGCAGCTTGAACCTAGATTCCTCCTCTCAAGTTTTGAATCTGTGGCTGCTACATTATCATGTGAACCTAGATTCCTCCTGCACATGGAAGTGCTTGTACGTGGAAGTTCTTGTAAGGATTCCTTGGTGATGGTTGGTGATGGGGCTCGTTTCAGTGCCGATGAGGATTATCGACGTTGATTGGAGGGCGACGGCTTGCGAGGCATTCCGTGCTGTATGGGGTTACGTACACGACGAAACTGTACCGCGAAAGTACTGTTGGTACTTTTCTGAGGCTGAGACCTTGCCAGCGTAGCACTGTCGGAACTCGTAAGAGGGACTCGCGTGATTGGCTGCTGATTCTGGCGACTGTCTTTACCAGATTTGAACGAACAGCAGATAACTAGAATATCGCCCCTTACCGCGTACACGCCCGCACCACCTGCCTAGGATTCCACTTACAGAGTTGACCCCTTATTCTGTGAAGCTTATAGTGCAATATAGTGCATACTCGTGCAAATCCCATGCGTTATAGTGCATGCTCGTGCACATATCCCACCACCATTAGATTGCCTTACAATTAGGTGTTATTGAAGTATACTCAACATAGTTTAATTATGCATTCCTGATATTCTCTTTAGACTTTAGTAGTAGCGCGATACCTCACATGGAAGGACGCGCGTTATGACGACAACAGTAGCGAGTCAACACGCGAACAACAAGTTCGCGCACATTGTCACCCGAAAGGTCACGCCACTCTCAGTCACACGAACATTCACTACTCATGTCACGCGAATAGTCGCGATACACTACGAACATGTACATTACGAATAGGTACTCCCTCGACTATAAATATGTCTGTATTTCGGACATTTCCAATACAATGTATTAAGTCTTCCGCTGACTTTCTATTCGTGGTTCCACAAACTCTAGATCCTGGCCACCCTAAACACGTGGTTCATTTCAACATGGTATTCTGAGCTAGTAGAATTAGACGTCTCAGAGTAAGAAAATTGACTAGAATGATGGGGTACAATGGAATATAGCATAAGATGTTGTCCTCTATATAAGCATGCACCTATCTAACCCATAACGCATACAACATATATGTTGACACACCCTCTAGGCTAGACAAGGGGCAGCAATTAGCACGAGACACGCAATTCAGAGTGGCACTATTAGTCCAACCACTGAGGCAGTGGTCCGAAGTCCAGTCAGCAAGAGTACAAACTAAACAATCGGAATCCAAGGCGGTACTACTAGTTCAGCCACTAGAGCAGGAGCCACAAGGCCAGTCAAGATAATAGAAGATAGTACACAATCTACACGAGGTGATGCGCGTGCTCCTGCAACAGTCCAACTTGACAGCATATATTTGGTCGTTCACAATGGCGCAAGCTGTCAGACCACACAATTTTCTGTCTTCAACAGCCCTCCCTCAGTTCAGATCGCCATATGACATGTGGACAAAACACCCTGCCGATACTCGACTATAACGAGTTTGGGGGTGCATGGTCCAATACAGACCTCTGAGCGCAAGTATGGGCAGGTTTACTGAACGGGCTCGATGGGGAATACACATTGGTTTACCCAGGGATTCTTATTCTTGCATAATTATGGATTACGAAACCCGAAAGGTTTTGTATGCCTGAGACTTCATCTTCTACGGGAAAATTTTTCTCGATAACTTCAAACGTGACAAGGAATGCCAGCCGCGGTATCCTGATCGCTACACTGCCAAACGGGGTTTCGCCACACCTCAAGACAAAGCTGATGCGGCCGAAGAATATTATCCGACCGACAGCGCAGCAGCAATACCTTCTATAGTTTTGCAGCCATCTACGTCAGCAGCCGAACAATTGTTCAACTCCTATATTCCCTCGATACGTGCCAACAATACAGAAACCCTGCTCTTTATTCCACTCTCGGACCCGTTGCGTCCTGCCACGACACAGGCTGCCTGTAATTATAAGGAGCACTTGCGCCAATAGAAAACTGACGTAGCATCACATGACGGTGCCCGCCATCTGCCATCCAATATTTCATTTCAACTCTTACAATCGGACTCAGCTACACGACAAACACTGCAGCAAATTTTTGACTGACTAGATACGTTGATGTGAATCACGCTGCTGATCCCGACAACAGGCGTTTACGTGCAGGGTTGATTTTTAATCTTGAACGAGGTGGTGTTATTTCATGGAGCTCAACGAAACATGAGGTCATCGCACTCTCATCTGCCAAAATAAAATTCGTCGCAGTAAGCTTTGCGGTTCGTGACGTACTCTACCTTCAAGAGATACTGCAAAAGGTGAAAATCGCAACGACTCGTAACTTCAAGTTACTCCTAGTCAACTAGAGCGCAATCAATATCGCATCAAGCCCGACTTCGTCAACAGGACAAAACACATCGCCCTCCGTTACTTCTTCATCAATGACAAAATCGACAAAGGGAAGGTCATCATGAAATACTGCCCTATATAAGAAATGGTAGCTGATTTTCTGACAAAGAAACTCCCACACGGCAAGTTTCAATACTGTTGCAACCTGGTTGGAATCTGCAAACGCGGCGACATTTACCCAGAAACAAACTCTCAACAATGAAGGGGAATGTTAAGGTATACTCGACAGAGCTTACTTATACATTCTGCATACAACACTTAGACTGTACTAGTAGCGCGATAACTCATATGGAAGGACGCGCGTGATGACGTCAGCAGTAGCGAGTTTACGCGTGAACAGTTGGTTTGCGCATATAGTCACCCGAAGGGTCACCACACTCTCAGTCATACGAACAGTCACTAGTCATGTCACGCGAATAGTCGTGATACACTACGAACAGGTACATTACTAATAGTTCATATACTACAAATGTGTATGTATTGCTCATTATTGTTACCTTTGTCACTTCAGACATTTCTGATACAAGGCGTAAAGTCTTTCGCTGACTTTCTACGCGTGGTTCCACCAACTCTGGATCCTGGCCACCCTAAACGCGTGGTTCATTTCAACTGGTGTGGGTTTGATTTCAAAAATTTATAGAAGTGTATAATTGAATTGTCTACATAATATATATCTTCCATCATATTCGTCATGCATGGCATTTCTGGATTGTATATTTGTATATCCGACACCAGAGTCTACGGGATGCCATTTATACCAATTAATATACCAGTAAATTTAAATTGCATGATATCGATTAATCCATTATTAGGCACTATTCTTGGCTGAAAACTACACTCATCATAATAGAGGAATGAATATCTTTGAAATCGATTGCACACTTTCGGGTACTCTAATTGAAGTGCGTTGAAACGGATTGTTAGGCCTGGTGATAAGCCAGTGCGATTTTCTGACTACAAACCCAAACCGCACTGGGCACGCATTTCACGTAATGGGTGGAGAGCTCTCTTTCACCTGCCCTAGATTCCAAGTCGCAAGACATCCACGGGCACTTCAAGTACCAAACCATCTCAAACCCGATAGATTTTTATGTTGCCAGAGTCCTGACGTCAGGCGGAGTCTGCTTCCCGCGCTGTTTTGTTTTGGGCTGCGCCGCGGCTCTCAAACAACCAACCGACTTGCCCTGGGCTCTGGCCAGAACAAAGACCACGCCGGACCACATGCGATAATGCAGCGTCGCAGGAAGGAGGCGCGTGCCAATTTGTCCCGCCAGAAACGGAACCAAAAGACGGCCTGCAATACCCCACGGAAACATGTCCCAACAAACTTTGTGATCGCCATCGTTGCGCGAAAGTCGTCGCCCAATCCTCATCCCGCATTTCTCGTCGCCGACTGGTTCGGTGCGCAAATCATCGTTGCGCGAGAATTCCGACGCACCAAGCCCTGAATTCTCGGCCTGTCTGGTGCCCGTTTGCGAAACGGATCAGTCAGTGCTGCACCTTGCGCACCTCTGCCCCCACCATGCCAGCACGATCCCCTCCCTCCCCCACCTCCATCCATCCATGCCTCACGGCTTTTTTGGTTCGGGCCGTGTCGTGTAACCGAGCCGCCTTGTCTGCTCCATGGCACACTCGCTCCCTCCCCCCACCGTTGCCTGCCTCGATCCTCCTCCCCTGAAGTCCCAATTCCTGTCTCTCTTCCTTTTTATAATCCGCGAATTTCACATTTCCAATCAAGCTCTTCTGCTCCACCTAGCACCACCAGTCTCTCGCATTAGATTGCTCGACATTTGAGGTCTATCATTCACTCTTTCCGGGACGCCAGGCTCACAATGGCTCCCAACGCGTGTAACGCCAGTCCCACCCTCGGCCCCATGTCCGTAATTTCTCCCGCGGAGCTCAAGCAGGCTCCCGCCACCACCCTCCCCACCGTCCCCGAGCCCGCCGATGCTCCCGCCGCTCCGCAATCCGCTCCGCTCCCCGCTCCGCCGGCCGCTCCCCCCGCGGCGGAGGCAGCTGCTGCGCCCGAGCCCGCCGCGGCTCCCGCGGAGCCCGCGCAGCACCCATCCGCGGAAGAAATGGCGCAAGGACCCGTCATGGAGACCGACGGGATGTTCTTGGGAATGCCTCTGCAGCAGATCAAGATGATTTATCACCACGCCGTGACGCAGTCCACGCGCCTCGTGCTGCCGCTTCTGGCGGCGATCGCGGTCCAGCTCACGCGCAACGTTGACTTTAACGCGCTCTGGGAGCAGCTGCTCACCCTCGATACCTCCTACCTCGTCGCCGCGTTTTCCGCCGCGCTTTTCGCCGTGACGGTCTACGTGCTCACCCGCCCGCGCCGCGTGTTCCTCGTCGATTTCGCGTGCTACCGCCCGCCCGACCACCTCGTCATCACTAAGGACGTGGCCGTCGATCGCGTGAAGAAGCTCGGTTACTTCGACGAGAAGTCGGTCGATTTCCAGACCAAGGTGTTTGCCAGGTCCGGGCTCGGCGATCGAACCTACATCCCTCCGTCAATGCACACGTGGCCGCCGTCCCCGTCGATCGCCAACGCGCGATTGGAGGCCGAGATGGTGATGTTCGGCGCGCTCGACGAGCTTTTCGCGAAGACGGGCGTGAAGCCGCAGGACATTTCGATTCTCATCGTGAACTGCACGGTTTTCTGCCCGACGCCGTCGCTCTCGGCCATGGTGGTTAACCACTACAAGATGAGGCAGGATATCCAGTCGTACAATCTGGGCGGCATGGGGTGTAGCGCGAGCATCATCGCGACGAAGATGGCGCAGGATCTGCTGCAAGGCCAGCCGAACAAGCTCGCGGTGATCGTCTCGACCGAGAACATCACCCTCAACGCGTACCTCGGCAACCGTCGCTCGATGCAGGTTACCAACGTGCTCTTTCGCATGGGCGGCGCGGCCGCGCTGATTTCGAACAAGCCGCGCGACGCGTGGAGGGCCAAGTACGAGCTGAAGAACGTGGTTCGGACGCACATGGGCGCGGACGACAAGTGCTACAAGTGCATCCACCAGCAGGAAGATGAGAAGAAGATTGTCGGAGTGATGCTCTCGCGCGAGCTTATGGGTACCGCCGCGAAGGCTCTTAAGGCGAACGTGACTGCGCTCGGCCCGCTCGTGCTGCCGCTTTCCGAGAAGCTGCTCTTCGCCGCGGCGTTCATCGCGCGGCGCGTGTTTAAGATGGATATTAAGGAGTACCTGCCGGACTTCAAGCTGGCCTTCGAGCATTTCTGCATCCACCCCGGCGGTCGCGCGCTCCTCGACGAGGTCCAGAAGGGGCTCCGCCTCACTCCGAACCACATGGAACCGAACCGGATGACGCTGTACCGCTTCGGAAACCTCTCTTCCGCGTCGATCTGGTACGAGCTGTCGTACGTGGAGGCGCAGGACCGCGTGAAGCGCGGCGACCGCGTGTGGCAGCTGGCGTTCGGAAGCGGGTTTAAGTGCCAGAGCGCTGTCTGGAAGGCGCTGAGGACGATCCCCGGCGCCAAGAACCCTGGCCCGTGGGCTGAGGCGGACGGCTATGTTCCCCCTCCCCCGGTCGAGGCGCTCGAGATGGACCCTGAGCCCCACCACTAGTTTCACAAGGTAAATTACCCTTTTTTTAGTGCTCCTTGCGAGTTGTTCGGTGAATTGGTGCTGTGTCCTCGCGTTTCTGAGTGGTGGTGGTGTTGGTGCTGCGTTGCTGACCTTGCCTTCGCCTCTCTCGACTGCTTTTCTCGTTTGCTTCATTTCAGGGTTCCTCGCGCTTGGCGCGCTGCTGGCTGCTGCGGCAATGCGGCAATGCGACCAGATTCCTCACACACGCATACGACCTAACTGTGAAGGCCCTGCAGAGAGGCAGGGATTCCGGGGTCCAGGAAGAAGTTAGGACTTCAGTTCCTGTCCTCTAGGCTGTTAGTTTCCTGCTACTGTAGTTGCATACTATGAGACTCCTAGGCTGCTTACCCTAGCTCATTTCATTCTAGACCATTGTCTATTTCCTGAAATTATAATAAATTATGCTTCAAAACTCTGCCTATGCTCCTGTTCCAAGTGCAACCCAAAAAGCCCTCCTTTGCCTGTTCTCTCTGCCTGTTCTCTCGCTTTACCGCTTGTCCTCAAAAAGCCTTGCCTCCTACATCTCCCCTCAACCTGTTCAATGTCTCCTGAAAAATCTACTAAGGTTGCTTCTAATCAAGAGCCTTCCCTGACTAGGAGCTTGTAGCAGACAGATAGAATGTGCACTGAACCCATATGGATGTTCCTCCACCACATGGCCATACTGATTCATGTGTTTGCCTGCAACGTTTCTATTTTCCTCCAGTACATGGTCCCTGTCCCTCACAACCTTGTGGGTTCGTGCGTTTATTGGGTTGCGAGTTCATTGACATGCCCTCTTTTGTTGTTGTGATAATTGAAGTTTTGCATTCCTGCAAGTTCCGATTTCAGTGTAATTAGCAGTATCGAGTTTCTCAGTAAGTGATCATGCCCGAGTGCTGATGTCAGCAAAGCATCGCGCGTCTAGTGATGACGTCAGCATACCGCTTCAGTTACGCTATTAGGCGTAACGAACCGCTTCAGTCACACGAACAGTCGCGACCCTATAGAATGACGAATAGGTCGCATAGCGCGATAATGACGAACAGGTACATTAGCGAACAGGTACTTTCCCTAGAGAGGCCTTTCTATTATTAACCTTGACTTTCCACAGAATTATGTGCTCAGGTTATTCAACCTTCGACTACCCACAAGTTCATGTGCTCAGGTTCACTCTTATAAGACTTCCGCTGTCTTACTAGTCTACCATTCCAGCAAAGATCCTTGGTTAAGTATTCGTGTTCGCAGATTCTACACGTAGTCTACTGCAACACCAGACGATTTACTTCATGTGTAAGCAGAACCTTTCATTCGATGCAAACAGGAACAAACAGAGACAACATGTTTGTAAATACAATAGATGTTGTGAAAATCATCACAAACAGCACAAGCGCGCCTCTAGCACTTGTGCTCGGACCCATCCGAGAGCACCACGGGTAAACCTGATCATATAGTTTGTGAACATTACAAAACAGCACAGGCGCGCCTCTAGCACTTGTGCTCGGACCCATCTGAGAGCACTTGCATCCCCCCACTCTCCACATTCCGCCAGAAGCAAGCCTTCTTGTTGCTGCTTTTGAAACTAAGGGTCTGAGACCCTCCCACCACCACCAAATTCGGCGCAGAAAACGGCCCAACAACCACACCAGTGGCATCAGCCCCATCAACCGCATTCATAGCATTTCCGGCAGCATTCACACTGGTAGCGCTGCTTGAAGTGCCGGCCGTGCTCGCTGTGCTACTTGTGCTAGCAGAACTCCCGTTGCCACTGCCGTCAGTGTCACTCAGTCCACCACTGCTGGTGCCAGAGCTGGTAGTGCCATCTGTGCCACCTGTGCTGTCTGTGCTGATCCCGTACTCGAGCAGGTCGCATGTCTGGGAGTTGACCAGAGATTCCAGGGTGGATTTTGTGAGCATGTTGTTGTCATTGTGAAGGCGCTGCTGTTGGAAGTCGTGGGAGAGAGACAGCTTGAAGGAGGTGCTTCCATCTGTAGGGGGGAATACATTTGGAAAGAAGCAAGGGGTGGGGTGGTGACTTGTCCACGAATTAAAAGCTTAGTGGTTTAAGATTCCATCTTAACACGTGTCTGTGACACAACGTGCATGCCAGAAAGTCAGGGGACGGAGGGGAGAAAGGGGAAAGTGAGGGAAAGGAAAGCACGAGCATGAGCACATTCCTGACAACCCACGCCGCTCCCCAGACACCCAAAGGAGCACCCCTTTTAGGAGCTGAACCGATAAAACCATATAAGCACGTTCTCTACAGGGTACAAATCACCCCATTCAGGGTACCCTGGGTTTTCCCCAGTCCACCATCCCGAGGTGCCTGCAAGCCTCTCACTTGGTTATGTCAACTTGGTGTGAGAAAACTGTCTGAATGATGGCCGACGGAGAATGCTGCTTCACTGTGTCCTTTGCAAGCAGCATCCCACACTCAGCTTTTGAGGCGCCTGACGAAGAGCCTGGGAAAACAACGAGTCCGGAGTCTCACCTTGGTCCGAGAACACTGCCTCGGTGATGATGGTCGATGCAAAGTGATGCGGCACCGTGTCCGTCACAATCAGACTCCCGGGCAACTGCCCCTCCTTGCAGTCACAAGTCAGTTTTCTTCAACCTTCTCACCTTGGTCCGAGAACACTGCCTGGGTGATGATGGTCAATGCAAAGTGATGCGGCACCGTGTCCTTCGCAATCAGCCTCCCGCGCAACTGCCCCTCCTTGCAGTCACAAGTCAGTTTTCTTCAACCTTCTCACCTTGGTCCGAGAACACTGCCTGAGTGATGGTCAACGGGAAGTGATGCGTCACCGTGTCTTTCACAATCCGCATTCCACTCTGCCTGGACATACTCGTTGTCATATTCACCACCACATTGCAAAAGTCAACTGACTCACCTTGGTCCGAGAACACAGTTTGGGTGATGGTCAATGGAAAGTGATGTGTCACCGTGTCCTTCGCAATCAGCATTCCGCTCAGCCTTCCCCTCCTTGTTGTCACATTCGCAACAACATTATACTCCGTCTTCAGAAATTTCATCTGCCCGAGGGCCTCCGTGCGACTTTGGAGCACATGATATGCTTTCACCAGGCTGGTTACCACCCCACGAGAAGTGAGGATTCGTCCACCAATGGTGTAGTGCCGCATGGCAGTGGCCTCTAGGGTCCCGTCTATGCCAGTGTAGATGTTTGGAGGAGGTTCATAGTACTGCAGCGCTGGGACCTAAATTAAAAGGGAGGCAAAAATGGAAACAGGAAAAAAGGGAAAACGTCAAATGCGGAAGATTGTGAGTGGAATAAAAATGTAAAAGGAGGAAATTGTGAAGGGCAATCGAGTGAGTGAGCCACCACTCATGCTGATTGAAGCAGGAGTACCACACAGGAAAGCAAAGAAATGTGGCTGGTTCTAACATGCCGATCAAGTAAACTCACATCAAAGACGGTGATTCTCCCTGTTGTCTAGAGCAGAACTGGATCCAGCCACATGCGGAACACCCCACTCCCCCGGGAAAACAAAGAGATCCGGCTGCTTATGAAAGAGCAAAGCGACTCACATCAAAGACGGTGATTCTCCCTGTTGTCTTCAGCATAACCGGATCCAACCACATGCGGAACACCCCACTCGCCAGCCAGACCCCTCCCGGCAGCACCCCCGAAACAGCAACCGTAACATTGTGCTTCCTCCCGTCCGCAAGCAGTCCCACAAACGGGGTCACGTCTAAAGAGTATGGCTCCAGGCCAAAGCACCCGATCCCCACCACGGGGGTCCAGAGGGAGCGGCGGAGGGAGGAGGGGGAGAGGACGGGGAAGGGGAAGAACGAGCCTGCGAATCTTCCATCTATGTAGACGACTATCTCTCGGTAGGGGCTTCCTGATATGAAGTTCGCCTTGAGGGAGTCAGGCAGACCGGAATAGTAGCTGGGATGGAGAAGAGGGAACAGAATGGGGGGAAGAGGAGGAAGTGGTGAGCCGCAACAGCGGATTCTAACAGGCGATTCCTTTCAATTTCAAATCAGTACTGAATTTAGGAACACAAAGACATTTCCCTTTTCTCCCATCCCCTCCCCCCTTCTTTCTAGACCCCTATCCAGCAGATTAATGAAGTTTTTTTTGTTATTTCGGGGAGCTGTCAGGGGTGTTGTTAGGTGTGGATCAACAGAGGACCTAGCAACTCCCCTCCCCCCAACCCTCACCCTTGTTCTTCTTACCTCCCCACAGGCTCACCTCAACCAGTCTCACCTCCCCACAGGCTCACCTCTACCAGTCTCACCGCCCCCAGCCTCACCTCTCCAGCAGGTTACTGAAGTACGCTCTGTCATCTCCATGCGGCGTCAGCGTGAGGTCCAGCTCAGCGCGGACCAGATTCCTCGGGAATCCCGACACCAGGACCGACGCCGACGCCTGGCTGAACAGCGCGCCGCCACCTGGCGACTGCTGACTAGTTCCCAGGATTCCCCTGGCGTCTTTCCCGGAGAGGACAAGGGGTCGGCCACGTGTCTTGGAGGAGGAGAGGGGGAGCAGGCTGTGTGGCACGTGTGGGGAGATTAATCCCCCATAGAAGGAGACCTCGAGATCTACATAGAAGATGCCGGTGTTCACTTCATCTAGAGCGTTTTCCAGTGTGATAGAAAAACGGCCTCTCTGCAGGACACGCAGAAACGAAATGAGAGAAAGCACCACGAAGGGAGAGGAAAAGATGGATAGTTTGAACGTACCACGAAGAAAGCACCACATGGATAACATCGAGAAAGCACCACGAAGGGAGACAAAGAGGTAAGATATGGTAGTGGTAGAGAGGACTTAAAAGTGAAAGTGGTAAAGCTAGTGATTCATTATGAACTGGAGTCTATATCTGGTCTTACCCTGCACAAGAGTCTTACCCTGCGCAGGACTCTTGAGAACTTGGTGAGGTCCCTCTCAAACGCGAAGCGCACGCCATTGGCTGAGCCGGGTGTGGTTCTGAGAGGCGCAGACATGAGAGAACGTTGGTGGGGAGGGGAGGGGATAAGGGGGACCGTTGGTTGGGGAGAGAAGATATGGGGGGAGCTGGCTGGGGGGGAGAGAACGGGAAGCAGGCCTGAAGAATGCGGAGACTGGTGGAGAGGGGGTTCACAACGCAATGCATGCACCGCTCAAGAATCTTAACCAGGAGTAGATCGAGGAAGGGGGGGAGACGAATGGTGCACGAGACGCCATCGTCTCTTGTCGCTCAGCAGAAAATAAAGCAAGCCGATGTATGAGAGAGAAGAAGAAAGAGGGAGAAGGAGAAAGAGAGAGAGAGAGCGTACAGCGATCTTGAGAGCTCGAATCCGTTGAAGAAGATGGACAGAACCCTTCCTTCTTGTATCCCCTTAACTCGCACACCGATACTGAGAACCACCTGCTTCCACGCCTGTGCCGGAAACCCAGATACGGAAGGAGTCAGAGGAACGAGTCAGAGGAAGGAGTCAGAGGAGGGAGTCAGGGTCAGTTAGGTGGCATCATCGTGAAACCGCGTGGATCCTTCCACAACTTGTGAAGGGTAGAGAACTCAGCATCTGCTGCTACGCTTAGATTCGAGCGGAGCCCATTGATAGCCATAGAATCTATGCTATATTAGATACCAATACGTAATAAGAAGACACACCCAAACAGTACACTCACCAAGCCGCATCCAGCTGGCGGGGTGTAAGCAACTTGGATTGTGGGCTTGTTGGAGGTGTTAGCGAAAGCGGCGTCTCGCAGCAGAATGAGCCGACAGGGTGCCACGATCTTCGGCTTCTTGATGGGAATCGTCACCTCGCTCACTGTCGTGTACCCGCTATAACGCTTATCCGCTAGTAACCTCGCTCGCCGTCCTCGTGTTGCTGTTGGCTTCAGCACTCTATAAAGACCTGAGGCTTTTAAGCCTGTCACGGTCGTGTCTGCATCGTCTGTTATACTCGAAAAACCTCGTTCTATCACAATCGTTTTAGCGTCAGGCTGATAAGGTCTTCCGCGTTCCTGAAAGACGTTATCCGAGGCAGTCTTGTTGCTTGTTTTTGAAACAGGCTCATCAGTCGCCCCCGACCGATAAGCGGATCTATTCGGTGTCTGCTCCCATAAGGTTCTCGGATTATCATGCTGCTGTGGTACGAATCTTCTACTATTTGACTTCCAGCTTTTCGCCGAGCACGAGGAGAAGCACTGTAGGCCAAGCGGAACGACTAGAAGAAGGAGAGTAAAGGGGATCGACGAAGAGTGAGAGGAGGAAACTACTCTGGCAGATGGCATTTGCGCACAGGAATCACGATCATATCGTCCTACGATTGACGAATATGCTCAGAGATGACAAGGCCTGCTGAAGTTGGCTCTAGTGGCCCTGATGTCAGCGATCATCAAACAGATAGCCTCACTAAGTGCAGGACAGTAGTTGAATGGATGAACAGGGCTGTAAAAGTTAAGTTACAGTGAACAAGTTAGCAGTGGTACACAACGCGAACCATAACGTGAAGGACATCACTCTGAGCCCAAGCGAGGTCTCTGGTATACTTTCTCCCCAGATGGATCTCGGAAGAACAGTTTGTTCGTCGCTTCCTAATGCCCAATCGACTACTCAAAGGGATGACTGCTCCACCGACAAGCACCGCTCCTGGAGCACAGGATGCAACACGGGCTCAGCCTGATCGTCAAAACCTAGGCTGTCCCTGGGATTGACAATGAAACCTCCTAAAGGCATCAAAATCACAAGCCAGAATAACCTAGGTTGTTCCAGGTGACAATTTTGTTGCTCCGAGGTTGGTCGGCTTGCGGAATCGTTTGAGCGGGATGGCCAAATTTCGAGGGGCTGGGGCGGTGCGGGGAGGGAAGCGCTTCGGCGAAATTCATGCTGACACGTAAATCTCCTCCTATGGCACTCTTCGGTAATATTTGTGCCCCAAACAGACTCTACGAGAACGAATTTCGTTTTTCTTTTGCTTCACTTTAGTCGAAATGGCAACAGATCAATTCGATGGTGGTAGTGTTTTGCGACGCCCAATTTGGCGATGACTTGCGGCTATCAGCATGAGGCAAGGCGTGCCACCATCCTCCTGCCCCCTCCCTCCCCTCCCTCCTATCCCTCGTCCCCGTGCCTTCCCCAAGACTAGCATCAAACCTCACCCGTCTCCCCCTTGCTCCTCCGTCCCCGTGACTCCTCTCCCCGCCTGCTGAATAGCCCCCTCCCTCTCAGTCTATTCCTTTCTCTCTCCCCTTACCCTAATTTCTCCACCCTTGGAGGTCCTTCCCCCCCCCTCAGCCTTCACTTCCTAGCGTGTCAACATGGTAAGATACCGTCATGGACCGTGCTCTAGAGAATGTCTGACGCTGTATCCCTTCGTAGACTTGGTTTCCAAGCTGTCGCCGGTCTAGAGGCGTGCCACCTCAAATTAGGGTTTCGACCCTTCAGCCCCCCCTTACATACAACCCTCTCCCTTGGAATTTCTGCCTCCCGTCAGGCTCCCTGCTCGCGCGTAGTCCATCCTCACGGTTTTCCTTCGTCCCTCGCTTACGTCCCTTTTCTCCTCCACCTCTGTGTCTGCCCCTTCCTTTGAACGTCCCTTCCTTTCGTACCCACCAGGGTCGCGTCCGCACAAAGACGGTGAAGCGCTCAGCGCGGCTGATCATCGAGAAGTACTACTCGCGCATGACGCTCGACTTCCAGACGAACAAGAAGATCTGCGATGAGGTGGCCGTCATCCCCACGAAGCGCCTCCGCAACAAGATCGCGGGCTTCGCGACGCACCTGATGAAGCGCATTCAGAAGGGCCCCGTGCGCGGCATCTCGCTGAAGCTGCAGGAGGAGGAGAGGGAGCGGCGCATGGACTTCGTCCCTGACGAGTCCGCCATCAAGACGGACGTCATTGAGGTGAGTAGAGGCAGGCAGGCAGGAAGGCACAGAAGGGCAGACAGGCACGTACGCAGGTAAGTAGGCAGGCAGGCAGACAGACAGGCACGTCTGCAGGCAAGTAGGCAGGCAGACAGGCGGACTGGCGATTGACGGTCAAACGATAGCAGGCAGGACGGATGAGTAGCCGGGTGTGCCAGCTGATAGGCGACTGCAGTGGGTTAAGCACTAGAGGAGCAGCGCACGACTTCGAAAAAATGAGGCGCTGGTCGGTTGGTGCCTCCGGCCACTGAAGCTGATTGGTCGGTGGGTGGTAGAGGAGTATTGGAGCAGAAAGGAAGCGGCTATATCTTCTTCCAGGGGGTTTCGTCATTATAAGGTAGCGAGCTGTGGCAGCGAGCTTCTTGTCTGTAGCTGACTGGATGGATCTCTGGGGCGACATTTTCAATCTCCTGGCGGCACGTTAAACTCATCTCGAGCCCGCACAGCGCTAACAATCCGTAGAAAAGTGATATGCGGCATGGGTAGGCTAGCGCACTGGTTGGGGGTACAGGAGCAGAACGAGGAGTTTAGGGTACCGTCATCCGAATTGCAGAATATCGCTGTAGCTGTTGTAACCAGAGTTACACCTGCTTTGCTGAGGCGATTAGGCTCCGTGGCATCAACTCAATACCCGCTAGCTTCACTCCTGATGTGACTGAATCTTCGCCGCGAAATTCCCGACACGAGGTCGTCGGACACGAGGCTCGAATAGGCGTGTTACTGTCGAAGGTTGAAGGGTTATGAGTTAGGGGAGCTTCTGTGACTATGGCATCCTTGACGCGCAGCTGCCACCTTACGTTGGTTCGTTTGATCCGGCTTCATGTAACTGGGATCTAGCTTAACGTCATGTTAGCTTGATAGACGCAGCATGCGTTTTTCAGGGCGTCAACGATGTTTTCGAGGGCCCTTCTGATCGTCCTGACCATGAAAGGACCTCTGCGGCAACTTCAATGTTTGTTCTGAGCCAACTTGAATCGCTCGTTTCGTTTCCAGTTCAGACAGGAAGAGCAGGAGACCTAGTTGACCGTTTGCGTAACTTTTGTCTCTCATCTTGCCCGCCTTGCCAATCACCTACTTTCAGGTCGACCCTGTCACCCTGGACATGCTCAAGGCCATCAACATGGCTACCCTTCCCGGTGTCACTCTGGTTCAGCCTGTGAGTTTTAGTTGTCCAATTGCTACAGTCCTTTTACACTGTGTGCGTGCAGGTTACATGCTGATCATATTGGTTTTGCCCATCTGTCACCCCGAGTTCCGTCTTACTTTCTTTGCTGATGTAGCTTGACTGTTGCTGTCCTCATTCAAGCTTGCTAGTACTCTTGAACTGCCAGTGACACTTGCACTGCACATTTCTGCTCTTTTTGTTTGCAGCAAACTGGTGGTGGTGGCCCTGTTGGAGGCTACGGCGGAAGGTCATAGATTCTCGAATCAGGCCCAGTCAAAGTTCAATATGGAGGAAAAACAGGGCCAACAGTCTACCTTGTATTACAGGAGTCAGCAGCCAGCTAGATATTTGCCATAGAAGCCGTGTACAGCAGGATCTGCTGCTCATTCAATTCTTGTCAGTGGTTCTGCTTGGCTCAATGTGCTGTTGTTTCTGGATGAAGAGCAAAATGCCTCATTCGAGTGAGCTACATTGGAGCTTTGTAACAAGTGGACGAAATGTAGAATCGATAACCCTTGTTGAATTTTGAATGGTAAGTAATTGACCGCGTGTAAGGAATTAGTAATTTCTTACTGAGGCGCTCTACTAGCGGGTACACTGAACGTACACGGCACCGGGCTAGGTCCTAGTTCGTCACCGTACAAGCTATACCGAACCATACTGCGACATTCCGAAGCGCTCCGCGTCCTCGGATGCTTTTTCCGAACCTGTCCATCGCGCGGTTAATATTCGCTCTGGTGTTCCTATATCTAGCCTCGTCTTTCGTTGTACTGAAAATCTGTGAATCTGTAATTCTGGAATTCGATTTTCACTTCCGTGCTACTCTGGATTTCCACCCATAACACCGCTTGTAATGGATGCGTCTTTATGATAGCTGAAACCACCAGCCCACCACTCCCACCAGCACAAATGCATGAGACCCCCCAGGCACCATCCCAGCTGTCATTCAGCACAACCCAAGCTTTCGTTCCGTGCCCCAGTTCTGTTGGAGTTTGGCGGCCTAGAAGCATGGAACTCGCGTTTCTGGGAATATTGATTGCCGCCTTCAGCCTCGTTCCTCCACCAGCCAGAGTATGCCTGTGATTTTAGCTCGCGATTGTTAAACCAGTACACTGACGTCTTGATCGTTCGCAGGGCGAACTGGTGCCAAATAAAGGTAAATGGAAGGACCGTGGCCGCAGTCCGGAGTCCCCCGGTCAGTCCTTCTTAATAATTTAACGTGCAGGTTATGTGATCGTTCAGAACGGATCGTTCTACCTCAATTGCCGGAAGTTCGTCTTTTCTGGATGCAACTCGTGGGACCTCATGCAGGTTGTCTGCTCGGACCAGCTTGTCTTCATGGCAATTCAGCTGGTAGTTGATAATCTCCTACTAACACGATATATTGATTTATTTTTCAGAATGCGAGTGGTCCAAACAGCATGTGGACAGTACGTATTTTCTTCCGCTTTTGTTTCCATGCTCTGGCTCATCGTCCTGCCGCCTTCGCCTAGGTGAACGCGACACTCGATGATATGGTCTCCATGAATCTCTCAGTTGTGAGAACTTGGGGCTTCTCAACACAGTAAGTGATCCATTTCCTAGCCCTGCATTATAACGTATAGCTGTACGCGTTCGCTAATCTACACAGTTGTCATTTCAGAGCAAGCTCACCTGTGCAGCTGAGCCCGGGGGTGTACAATCAAACCCTACTAAGAGGTAAGACGGGAATACCACAGCCAAACGTCAGTCAAATCGAGTGCCCTCCACTGATGTTGATACATTTCTGCTTCTTTCTGAACAGGGCTGGATTTTGTCCTTGCTCAAGCAAAGCTTCGTGGCATTAGAGTTATGATTGCCTTTTCCAACTTCTGGGGTATGGGAGATGGAGTCAATACGGTACGCTTTCTCTCTTGAGGTTTGACTGCCCTTGCGTAGCTGTTGTGGTTTCACGTTCTTTTGAGTTTGGATGCAGTACATCAAGTGGGCTGGGCTGAATCACACGGACTTGTTTTTTAACAGCACTCGCTGCCAAGGGTTTTACAAAAACTACATGAAGGTCTGCAAGCAGACGCAGCTGATTTGCGCCAATTTGTTTTTTTGCAAACACCTACTGGCAGCTTATTTGTGCGCAGATGCTAGTTTCGAGGGTCAATACCTATAACGGCGTCAGCTATTTGAACGATACCACCATCCTGGGTTGGAATTTGCTCAACGAGCCAAGGTATGTCAACTGAACGACACATCTTCGTTTCATTTTTGTGTGTGTGTGTCTCTAATTCCTTGATTGCAGGTGCTTTACCGATGGCTGTCAAGATTCTGTGCAAAACTGGACTGAAGTGATGTCAACGTATCTTAAGGTAATTGTAGCAATCACTTTTGTGGCCGATACGTTAGCTCAACATGGCTAATCCTGTCTGTCTGTTGTCAGACAATTGATCCAAACCATTTGGTTGCCACTGGTTACGAGGGATTTTATGGAGCAAATCAAAATCACACGTCATACAATCCAGGAGGTGAAGAAACAGCTCACTTGCCATGGTTTCCGTATGTGGCTTTAGCCTAACATGTTCTGCCGACTTGCAGAGCCTTGGGGACATTGGGCGACGCAGACAGGACAGGAATTCATCCGCAACAACAGATTCTGGGCAATCGACTTCGCTGTTGCACACATCTGGTATGTGGAGCAGTGCAAACTTTCTCAAATTGTCTGCCAATCTCACGTGCTGCATTTTCCAGGTCCGAGAACTGGATCGGAAACCAGCAGAACACATCTGCAAAGCTCTCGTTTATACAGGACTGGGTCACGACACATAATCAAGACGCTCGCGTAAGGGTGATGTGGTCAATCAAAGACGTACTGGTGTGGCAGTTTCTGTAAAACATTTGCCCTAATCGTTCTTGCCTGAGCAGGATGTCTTGAAGAAGCCCCTGGTATGGGAGGAGTTTGGAATGCAGGATGTCACCTTCAATGGGACATTCACCTCGAGAGATGTGTATGTTGAGCATGGATTAGTGGAAGCGTGCGAACACATTACATACTGTTCATGACGAGCTTTCTGTCCTCTGGCAGGTTTCTGACTGCGATATATAATTCCCTTTACAACTCTATTGTTGAAGATGGAACTGTGCAGGGAGACAACATATGGGTCTTCAAGAGCCCAGGTATGAATGGACCTACAACCTGCCTGGCTGCACTAGTTGCTGCTCTTGCCAACATTCACTTCATTTTGCCAATGCAGATGGAGAGTTTGGGTACACCATTCGGCCAGGACAGTCAGCAGCAAAGATTGTGAAAGCCCATGCTGATGCTGTGATGCAACACAAGCACAGCTTTGGTGAGCCCTGTTGAACTGCGAGAGGGGGGCCTGCACCTGAGTTGGCATGCTTTGCCAGAAGTAATTGTAGTTCTGCTTGGAATATGTTGATAAGAGGCATGCCTTCACGTGCTGTTGTGTAAGGATGGGCTAAATGTTTCAATCATTTGATGCACTGCTACCATTACACGTTTCATGCTACCTAGTACAGAGTGCTTCACCCTACATGGCCTCAGATGGCGTTGAAGGCGCTTCACCATTCTGAGCCCAGGGACCTCCGTTCTTATCACCCGCAATGCTGCGAAGTGCTCTCCAGGTGGCGGTCTGGCACTTGAACCCGCTTCCAAACGCGAGCTGCCAGACGCGGTCCCCGTGCCTCACACGGTCCCGAGCCTCAAGGTACGACAGCTCGTACCAGATGGAAGCAGACGAGAGATTGCCCCACCGATAAAGAGTCATCCTGTTAGGCTCCATATCGTACGGCGAGAGGTTGAGCGCTTTCTGGACCTCGTCTAGAAGAGCGCGGCCACCGGGATGGATGCAGAAATGCGCGAACGCGAGCTTGAAATCCGGCACGTACTCCTTAATTTTCATTCGGAAAACGCGCCTGGCGATGTAAGCAGCAGCGTACAGCAGCTTCTCAGATAGCGGCAGCACCAGGGGTCCGAGGGTTGTTACATTGGCCTTGAGCGCCTGAGCAGCAGTGGCCATCAGCTCGCGAGAAAGCATGACGCCGGTGATTTTATTCTCATCCTGCTCCTGGTAAATGCACTTGTAGCTCTTGTCGTCTGCACCCATGTGGGTGCGAACAACAGGACCCAGCTCGTATTTCGCCCTCCAGGCGTCCCGCGGCTTGTTGGAGATCAACGCAGCGGCTCCGCCCATGCGAAACAGAACATTGGTAACCTGCATGGAGCGACGGTTACCGAGATACGCGTTCTGCGTGATGTTCTCCGTAGAAACGATAACGGCGTACTTATTCGGCTGCGACTGAAGAAGGTCTCCGACTAGCTTCACTGCAGCGATGCTAGCGCTGCAGCCCATGCCGCCAAGGTTGTACGACTGGATGTCCTGACGCATCTTATAATGGTTAACTACCATGGCAGACAGCGACGGAGTCGGGCAGAAGATAGTGCAGTTGACGACGAGAATAGAGACGTCCTTAGGGTGGACCCCTGTCTTGGCAAATAGCTCGTCCAAAGCCCCGAAAATCACCATCTCGGCTTCAACACGGGCGTTAGAGATGGAGGGAGACGGAGGCCACGTGTGCATGGAAGGCGGTAAGTAGGTCCGGTTGCCGAGACCCGATCGCTCAAACACCTTCGTTTGAAACTCTCGGCTTGTCTCGTCGAAGTAACCGAGCCGTGTCACCCGGTCCAACGCGACATCCTTCGTGATGACGAGGTGTTCCGGCGGGCGATAGCAGGCGAAATCAACGAGGAAGATGCGACGGGGACGTTTGAGCACGAAGACTGTAACAGCGAAAACGACCGCGGAAAAGGCCGCAATTCCATAGGACGGATCCAATTTTAGCAGCTGCTGCCAGAAGTTCAGCAAGTCCTCCTGCTTCACGTGCCGGGTTAGCTGAACGGCTAACGCCGCGAAGAGCGGTAGCAGTAGGCGCGGGCTATTGTTCACAGAGAAGTGGAACAGCGCCTTAATCTGGTCCGCACTCATGCCGAAAAACCGGGAATTGAGGTACTGCTGAGCCACCACCGCCCTCTTGGCGGGATGCTCCTTGCTGGTTGGTGCGCATTCTCCCCGCGCGTCTGTCGTTTGGGGCTGGCTTCCCTGAGGAAGGTCTGGAGCTGCTGCTGCTGCTGCCGCTGTTTCGCTGCGCTTCTCGAGTCTGTTAGCTCCTTTGACGATGCTCGCAGTAGCTGGTTTGGCGGGAGGAACTATTCCAAACGCTATGGGCGAGGGCTCTACGCGACAGATGTTCGGCGCCATTGTTCTGGATATCTAACTGTAGTTCAGAAATGGGAGTTGGTGTAATAAAATGAGGGGCTCTTGCTATCCGCTTTTGTTCTACGAAGCGTCTTTGGTCTTGATAAGCAGCCGAAGCGTGATCTGAGTAGGGAAACCAGGCCTGCATCAACCAGCCTTCGGCTCTGGACTGGAGTGGAGTCGTGGTCCCCCCAACTTTACTGGAAAGCAGTGGTCCCCCCACACGCACTGCACCAACATGCCTGCGAATCCGCAGAATGAAATGTCGAAAGTTGGTGACCATCGGTTCAAGCGCCAGCAGACAAGTCGCTATAGCGCTTCGAGAGGGGCCGGAAAGAAAAAGCGCGGGAACCGTTGGGCCTGGGCTGGCGCGCATTTCTCGGGGCCTTGGGACAATATCGTCGCGAAAATCGCCTGCTGACCAACCTTTCCAATGGCACAGTATCCAGTCTTTGTAGATCGAGAACACAAACAAGTCCCCAGTAAAAGAACAACGCCCCGACTGGTCGCTTAGCTAGTTCTTCCCTGAAATGTTTGAATTCCTTGGTAAATTTCTCCTTGAGTGTAGAACAATCTGTAAAACGTCTCAAAGTCAGAAAATCTGTATAAATCTGTGAGACTACCCCCAACATCCGAGCCTCCTCCGCCAAAAGCGTACGACTCGCCCAGCTCTCGCTTGGCCCGAAAGCGAAGGCAAGGGGAGGAGGGGCCTCCGTCTGACCGACCTGTCGCGTCGCATCCTTGTGCCAGCCTCCCTCCCATACAAACAGACAGACATCGTTGGCAGTTGCCAGCGCCCATCAAGAGGCGGCGGGCACTGCGTGGAGGTCATCCACTTCCAGGAGCATCATTGTGGCTGAAGTGGATTTGCAGGTACAGTTCTCATTCTCTTGTCCGAAATCGAGGCTTATAGTTTTATGATGTATCTTCTCTTAGCGAATTCCCAACTACGCCTATACAACCATTCATGTATTACATATATTACTCATATGGCACACTATGTACGCGACCTTTAAAGTAGTCCTCGAATGTCCATATTTCCTAGTCTAAGCCTGCCAAATCGGGTTGGTTTAGACGAGCAACGCTACTAAATCCTCTCTTTCGAGGGAGGGAAGGTTGGGACGGTTGTTTCCTTCTCGAATTCAGATCGTACGGCGTTCAAGATCATGCGGCCTCTCAGATCGTGAGGGATCTGAGACTGTGTTGGTACGGCTGGGCCAGCAGACTACCAGCAACTCAATAACTAGCAGCGCGCTAGTAGCAGACCCAGAGAAATAACGGCACGTTTTTCACAGCTCCAGCTATTACTAAACCAGTCATCGGAGATCGGTCTCCGTAGCAGTACAATCCCCGTAGCGACGTCAGCCCGAAATCTCCGTCAGGGTGACCAGGTTACACAGTGTCGCGGTTACAAGGTAACCAGACGTAAGCCATGGCGAGAAAGAAGGTGGCGGAGGTGATAAAGGTGAACCCTAAGGACATGGGAGGGAGGAAGACGCTGCCGTGTTTCGTGGAGATGATGGCGTTTATGAGCTGCATCAAGGAGAACGCTTTTGACACCACGCCGTGCCAGAAGCACCTGTCCGCGCTCGATGCATGCATGGACACCCAGGTTGGTTTTTTTGTTTTAAACTCTAAGAAGCAGCTTCGTTGAGATGATGGCGTCTATGAGCTGCGTCAAGGAGAATGCGTTCGACGCCACGCTGAGCCAGAAGCACATGTCCACGTTTGATGCGTGCATGGACACCCAGGTTTGTTCCTTAGGGGAATGCATGGGCACAAAGGTTAGTCCCTGAGACGAATGCATGGACACCCAGGTAAGTCCCTGAGGCAAATGCATTTTGAGATGTCTCACTAGCAGCTTCGTTGAGATTATGGCACTTGTGAGATGCATCAAGGAGAACTCGTTTGATACCACGCCGAGCCAGAAGCACCTGTTCGCGCTTGATGCGTGCATGGACAAGCGGGTGAGTCCCCGAGACGAATGCATGGACAAGCGGGTGAGTCCCCGAGACGAATGCATGGACAAGCGGGTGAGTCCCCGAGACGAATGCATGGACAAGCGGGTGAGTCCCCGAGACGAATGCATGGACACGCGGGTTAGTTGTTCGGCCATGATCATGATCGGCCATGTTTGCCCTTGATCCCCTTGCTCCCCTCCCCTCTCTTCCCTCCCGTCTTTTCCTGACCTTCTCTTCCCTCCCTCTCTGACATCCCTTCTTTTACCCCCCTCCTCCATCCCCTCTCATCCCTTCCCGCTGCTGCCTCTGTGTGGGTGCAGAAGTCCAAGGGCAAGACGAGAAACACAATCAATTTCCACCTGCAGAGAATAGCCAAGTCCATGAGGAGATAATCGGGATGCAGCCTCCAGGTGGATTGCGATTCAGGTCACTTGGGTGTGACTAGGAAATAACGGTTAGGTTGGGCTGGTTTGGATAGGGAATAACGCATGATAATTGCATTTCCTGTTGGAAATGATAAAAAGAACTTCTATCGTCGACAAGGATAACAGACGCTTGCGCATAGGCTACATCTATCGTCTGGAGCCTATTGGCACTACCGGTATCTGATGGCACTCGGGAAAACAGGAACTACCGTAATTATCAGAATGAGAGAAGTGAATGATGAGTAGTGGGAGAGTACAGATAGATATACCTAAGTATTGTACCCTCTAAGAGGTGACCCTATACAGTCTATGCAAACATAACTAATACACATGTTTGATACACCCCCTAGACTGCATAGGGGAATGTCCTGAACAAGCAGCTCAGGGCGGCACTACTAGTCCAACCTCTGAGACAAGGGTCTAAAAGACCAGTCAGAAGGAGTACAGACAAGGCAAGAACAAGATCAGGGCGGCACTACTAGTCCAGCCACTGGTAGAGGACACAAGTCCAGTCTGAGTATACATATAAAAGGGCAGTACAAAGTCAAGGCCCTAGCAAGTGAGAGGCTACAGGGACTAGACCAAGCTGTACGCAGTGCCGCTGATGATCTTTAGGCGCAAGCGCCTTCGTAAAGATATCAGCTCTGTTGGCACCTGAGGCCAAGTGTACTACGCGAGCCTGGAGTCGCTGCTGTAGCTCGCGCAGGAGGAAGTATCGCAGCTGAATATGCTTCGCTCTGCCCTCGAGTCAAGGCTCCTGACACGGGAGGATCATGGCCCTGTTGTCAGCGAACAGGACCGGGGCAGAGCTAGGCCGCTCACCTAAGTCAGTGAGCACGAAGGTCAGCCAGCGGAGCTCCTATGCCACCATGGCACCAGCGTAGATCTCGGCCTCACAACTGGACTAGGCAACAGACGAGGAGCGGGTAGCTCTCCACGAGACGGCACCTGAGCCAAGGCTGAAGCAGTAGCCCTGGGTAGACCTGAGTGTCTCGGCGTCGTCTGCCCACGAAGCGTCTGTGTGTCCAGTAAGGACCACTGGCCTGCGTCCTCCTAGCACTAACCCGATGCCCGATGTACTAGCAAGATAACGCAAAACCCTCTTAGCGGCAGACCAGTGCTGCGGTCGGTGTCTGCCTGTGGCCACAAAGCGAGCCAGGATGCTGAGAGGGTATGCGAGATCTGGGCGAGTGCAAGTCATCAGGTACATGAGGCAACCCACCAGCTCTGCGTAGGGGCCGCTGGGCTCAACCGACTCCTCAGACACTGGAGCGGAGAGTCTGTGGTCTACAGGCAGAGGGGTGGGCTGTGCAGAGGAGAACTGAAGGCTGAACCTCTGAAGGACCTGGCGCACCAAGTGTGACTGAGTCAGGGTGATGGTGCGCGCTGCTCTGTCCCTGGAGATCTGCAAGCCAAGGTAACGGCGCAGTTCTCCAAGGTCAGTGCGCGTGTGTCTCTTCAGCAGCTCTGCCTTCACGGAGGCCAGTGCGTCCCTGTCTGCTGTGGCAAAGACCAGGTCGTCAACGTAAACAAGGATGTAGAACGGAGTCTGGCCAGCACGAACGAAGAGTGAGGGGTCTGCGGAAGACGGAAAGAACTGCAGGTCAGCAAGCGTAGCACGGAGAGTGTCGTGCCACTCACGGGGAGCCTGGCGCAGGCCGTAGACGGGGCGCCGCAGGAGCCACTGGGTCCCAGGAGGGAAGGTGCCAGTAAAGCCCTGAGGGCGACACAAGTAGACCTGCTCGTGTAGGCTGCCCTGAAGGAAGGCAGTGGAGAAGTCGAGGGAGTGAAGCTCGTAGTCGCGCTGAGCAGCTAGGTGTAGCAGAACCCGAAGAGTAGTCATCTTCGGGGTCGGAGGGAAGATCTGGAAGAAGTCCACCCCCTCACGCTGACTGAAGCCTCTAGCCACGTAGCGCGCCTTGAACACAGGCGGCTCTCCAGGAGGGCGCTTCACCTTGAAGAGCCAGCGACCATCGACTACGTTCACCCTAGGCGGGGGAACTGCGTCGACGAAGGTGCCGGTGGATCTCCAAGATGCCATCTCCTGCTCCATGGCAGCTATCCATTGCGAGGCCCAAGGTCCCGAGGTCGCCTCAGCGTAAGTGCGAGGGGTCGGGATGTCGAAAGCGTCTGGGTCACCCTCAGGGACTAGCAGCATGGAACATAGATGGGGAGCAGCCTCGGACAGGAAAGCAAGCTCGAACTGGCGGTCGTCCAGGACGTCACTGCCAAGGGCAGGAGCACCCCCGACAGACGGAGGACAGGCAGGGTTAGAGACCAGAGCTGTGGCGTAGTCAAGGCGGCGGGTAGAGGCGAAGTCAGCGACCGCAGCTACAAGAGCGTCAAGGCACGAGATCGGAACAGACGGGTCGGTAACGAGAGAGGCAAGGACCCGGGGAACAAGAGGACGAGCGGCACGAAGGTAGTCAGACAGCGGGGGGGGGTGCAACAACAAGGGAGGACGGAGGAGGCGACGGCAGAAGGGGAGGACGAGACGCGTGGGAACGAAGCAACATAGGGTGGGAGCGCAAGACACGCGAGGCAGGACGAGCACGGGAGGGACGGTGAGACCAGACGTGCGACGGAGGAGTCGGGTCAGGAGACAGGGGAGGGGAGACAGGAGGGGAACGAGGGGGAAGACGGGCCGGGGACGAGTCCGGCGGAGGGAACACAGGGCCGTAGACGGGAAGAGGAGGAGACGGTCGGAGAGGAACAGCCGCAGGGTCAGGGGACGAAAGGCCGAGCAGGCGAAGGGCTGACACCGGCGGGGACTGCTGCTGCGGCGCCACAACGGCGACACCTGGACCGCAAGCTGCTCCTCGGCTACCACCGACACACTCCACACCAGCACCCCCAGAGGGACCACCCCCAGGGCGACCGGGACGAGCACCCCCAGAGTCAGCGAACGGGTGCTGGGACGGCGGCGGCGGCAGCGACAACGATGGCTGCAGCGGCGGCAGAGGCGGTGGGGACTGGGGAGGGGACGCCGGGGGAGGGGCGGCCGGCGAGGACTGCGCAGCAGGGCCACCAGAGTCAGAGGACTCCTCAACCGGGTCTACCGACGGAAGGGGGGTGACGTGGGACACACCAGAGGGGGCAGGACGGGGAGGAGGAGGAGGAGGGGCAGGGACTTCCGGGGAAGGAGTGACCAGGAACAAGGGGGGGGTAACCGGGGGACCGCGGTGGGGGAAGCGACGGTAGTAGGAGACGGACTTGTCAAATGTGACGTCGCGAGAGTGAAAGAAACGGTGAGACGGCGGGTGGTAAAAGTGCCAGTCGGACGCGTCAAGGGGAAAACCGAGGAAGACGCAGGGAAGGGTGCGGGCAGTGAGCTTGTCCGTGCCGGAGGCACGGACGAAAGCAAGGCAGCCCCAGACGTGGAACGCAGACGCGTCACCAGGAGACCCAGTCCAAAGACGGGTCGGCGAAACCTGCGGCTGCTGAGGGTGCGGCCACAAGTTAAGCTGGTGAGAAGCGTAGCGCACAGCGAACGGCCACAGAAAATGGGGTGCACCGGCATGGATCATGGAGGTGCGAGCCACCTCCATGACCAAACCGATGCGTCGCTCAGCGACCCCATTCTGCTGTGGGGAGTCCGGTAGGGTGAACGTCTGGGTGATGCCCTCCGCACGACAAAAGTGACCAAGGACATCTGAGGCAAACTCGCCACCACGGTCGGAGTGGAGACGCAAGACAGGGAGACCGCGGTGGACACGCGCAGAGACAAGCCAGGGGATGAGAGCGCCAGGCACGTCGGCCTTGCGCTCCAGGGGAAAGAATGTGGTGTAACGAGTGAAGTTGTCGACAAGCACAAGGAAGTAGCGCTCTCGACGCGGCCCAGGGACGGGGGCGGGGCCCCAGACGTCCAGGTGCAGGGTCTGCAGCGGCGCGGCGGTAGGGGGAAACGAGGAGGAGTGAGGGGCACAGCGAAGCCGACCCTCGACACAAGGCGTGCAAGGTGGGGCTGGGGAGGAGGGAAACGCAGGGAGAGAACCTGGGAGACCAAGGACAAGACCGTGCTGGGACATGTGACGCAGACGCGGGAGCGCAGGGTGACCTAGGCGGTGGTGCCAAAGGAGAGTCGGGTGAGTGAGGGACCGACAGGAGCAGGCAGCAGCAACCTGGGTGAGCGCTCCAGCCGGGGGGGTCACGGTGTCCAGAGTGAACAGGCCGGACACCGGGTCCCGGGGGAACGTGGACAGGGGGGCACCAGTGGCTGCCTCGGTATAGACAGCATACCGCTCGTGACCAGGGAACGTAGTGGTGACGCCAAGGTCCTGGAGGCAGTCGACACCAACTAAGTTCCTGGAGAACGAGGGGATATGCAGACCTGTGAGAGTGCCCGAAGGAACCGCCAGACAGGGAAGGGTGGTGGAACTGCGGGCGACTACCGGACCGCCGGAGGGGTCAGCAAGAGAAACGGCAGCAGGAACAGGAAGCGACGTCAGGGTGGTGAAGTCGCGGAAGAAACACGGGGAAGCGCCAGAGTCCAGGGTGAAGGAAAGCGAAGCAGAGGCGTCTGGCGACGGAACGACGGCGGAAGCACCAAGACTACACAAAGCAGGGGATCCTACGCCTGACGTAGCAGGGGAGGCTAAGCTAGGCACACCTACACTAGCCGACAGTGAGTAATAAGCGGGAAGCACACTAGAGTCATCAGCATACATCACATGCAGAGCAGAAACAATGGCATCCATGTCCATGTCAAAAATCTGAATCTTACGACTAAGCAAACTGTGCCAGTCCGGAAGGTCTGGCGACGGGCCGAAGCGCTGACGAAAGAGGTCGTCCAGGCGACGAAAACAACGGGGAGTGGAGTGACCGATCTTATCGCAAACGAAGCCGCGGCAAGGACCGGTCTGGATCTGGTACTGACAACGCACGCCTCCACAGCCACCACTCGGCACACCACCACGCGCCCGGCCACCGCCAGCGCCGGGCCACCCGGGCGGGAGGACACTCGTCTGCCGCGTTTGCGACGGCTGCTGCGAAGGCTGCGACTGCGGCGGCTGCTGCGGCTGCTGCGGCTGCTGCAACTGCAGGGGCAGCGGCTCAGCTGGACTGGGCAGGGTCCCCTCGTCCGCTCCAGCACCAGACGACCCGACTCCACCACCACCCCCTCCCGCACCCCCGCCTCCTCCGCCGCGCCCAACTTTGGGGCGGCGGCCCTTCCCCGAACGAAACT